AGCTATCACCTCCTATCACCGCCTTTCTTTCTCTCTCTCTCTCTCTCAATCCCTCTCTCTCTCTCTCTCTCTCTCTCTCTCTCTCTCTCTCTCTCAATCCCTCCCTCTCACTTCTCTCTCTGTCTGTCTCTCTCCAGTTGTCCTAGCTCTTAATGAATTTCTCAGAATCTCTACCTCAGTCTACTTCACTTTCTCTCTATTAGTATTATTTTTCTCAGTTTCACCCTGTATCTTCCTCTCTCTCTCTCTCTCCCTCTCTCTCTCTCTCTCTCGCTTATTCTCTTGTTCTCTCTGCCTCTCTCTCTCGCTTATTCTCTTGTTCTCTCTGCCTTCACCTATCACCCCGTCTCCCTTTCGCTCTCTCTCCTTCTCTCTCTTTCACTATCTTTCCTTTTGGGTACTTTAATATTTATTCCAACTGCATCCGCAAGACAAATAATTTTTCTTTCATTCATAAAATTTGACATTAGCATATTGCATTTCCATTGCGTTAATGTGACAAAATGACAAATGAAGCGGGGGCGTTTTTTGTCGACCAACAACCACAAACCCCTAACCCCCAACCCCCAACCCCAACCCCCAACCCCACGCTCTGCTCAGATGCATTTTATGCGTTTCGCGGAAAATGCATTTGCATTTTTTAGCTGTTGTTGTGGGTGCTGATGCTGCTGCTGCTGCTGTTGACACAGACGTGGGCGTTAACGTTGGGCGCGGGCGTGGCCGCAGTGGCAAAAAGTAAAAACACTTTGACAAACGTTTACAAACTCGCCAAAGCGACAAAAATAACAACAACAATGAAAACGCAATGGAGCAACTTTGAAATTGATAAATTGATTTATGCTCAGAGCAAAAAAATCTATATATAATGAAAAAAAGGGACAAAAAGAATAAAACAAATTCACATCACTTGACTATGTGAGATATATGCAAAATCTTTTCTATATGCCATGCAAAATGAAAAATGAAAAATGACGCAAGACGCGCTCGAGCCATGAAAAAATTTGTAGCTTTTCAACGAGCTGCTGCAGGCGCCTAACAGCCAGCCACAAGTTCCACAAGTTGAAGTGCATAAAAAGCCCTTTTCAATTGTTCACATAATCAGTGCACTGACAATGGACCCGCAGTGCTCTATAAAGTCAGCGAGTAGACGCCTTTGGCAGAAGATCGCAGATGAAGGCTCGTCCAAGAACTGATTTTGATAACATTATAGATAGATTTGATAAATTAGAGATATAGAGATTTGTAGAGCTGAATATATATTTCTATATATTTGGACAATTTGTAGTTCAATTCAATAGTAATACAACCGTGGAAGATACAGTTACACTCGATTTACTACGCCTCCCAAGGGTTGTTGCAATATGAGTTATATATTTCTATTTGGCAGAGATATATTTAAGAATACATATATACACATATTAGTATATGAATAGTTCAATATATACATATATATATAAGCACATTCCTTGCAAAATAAATATAAAATAATAGATAAATAATATATATATACATACACTCTTCGTCTTCGTCTCATACATGTACATAGTACATGAAATTTTTAGGAATATATTTATATATATTATTTACCTTTTATATTATATTTATGCATATTTTATATATATATATTTAGATGCGCTTTCATTTAATAAAACTGAAAAAATAAAGTTGCTGTCAAAAATTAAAATAAAAAAAAAAAAAAAAAAAAATTTTTAAATTTATTAAATTCCAAACCATTTTTAATTTAAAAAATTAGCCAATATGTGATATTTGATATACATATGAAAAAAAAAATCAAAATATGAAAATACGAAAAGAAGGAGAAATTTAGTTTGTAGTTTTATTACATGACAATAAAAATATAAATAGAAACAAATTCATAATCAATTCAAAAATCTCAATAAAAACTCAATTTATTTGGAATTTATTTATTAAAAGCTTCGGCCAGTTACACAATTGAGAGAGGCCAATCGGGCTGAGAGGTCGTGGCACTTACACGTTTCAACATTTCGTGCAGCTGATTGAGTATAGGTAACCACATGAACCATGCCACATGCCCCATGCCCCATGCCCCATGCCCCATGCCTCACGCACGTAGCCAGGACACCACAAAAATAAAATACAAAATATAAAGAACAAATAAAAACAAAAAATATGACAATGTCAAACAATATTTCCGTAATAATTTCAATTTTTGCACAAGGAAAGTTCTGCCTGCTGTAAAGACAGCGAAGCTTTCTGTGTGTGTGGGTGGGCGTGTGTGCGTGGGTGTGTGTGCTTTGTGCACTGACACATTTAAACCGTATAGACAAATAATTCAATATGGTAAACAAGTCACGTGCCTGGTGTGTTATTGCTTTTTGTTGGCTTTGATTCCGTGTAGACAACGAGGACGACACAGCGCCGAGGAGGACAATAGCAGACAGCACACAAACAGGGAAACGGCTACAAATGGGAAACCGCTAATGCCACGCCCACTTCCCCAATGTGTCTGTGTTTGTATGTATTCGACTGCAATCATTATAAACTTAATTAAAATATCGACAAGCCATAATAAATAACAACAGCCGCGTGCTAGACAACGCATTTGCCTTAAAGTCTTTAACAAACATGCCGCCGTCTACCTGTAAATATTTAAACGCCCACCTGCCGCAACCAATTTTAGCACTTGTCTGGTGGGTTGGCTCAGCAATTATGCAAGCAGAAACCTAAATTCCCATAGTATTCCGAGAGCTTCTAATAAAGTTTGATATTATATACAGTATCTAGCTAGGTGTCTCTATTCGAGAACCAGTTTAAAGCCGCAAAGTGCACTTAAATATACTTAGCTTATATTAGTTTCAAACTCAATAAACTGCCCTCGCAGCGCACGTATTTACATACATATAAACAGCGACGTTCGTTCATCCACATACAGGTAACAATCACAGGTAACTGCTACATGTGTAAATATTTACAAAACGCGCCAAAAACGTTGGCAAACAGACGCCAGGCGCCTTCACTTGTATCGTTCTTCATCATCATCATTATCAGATTCATCATCATCATCATCACCATCGTCATCATCGTTGCTGTTGCTATAAATGTAACTCGTTCGCTGCCATTTTCCACACACAAGCACAGACCGACACACGCAAACACACAGACACACAGACACACACACACACATGCACATTCGAAGCGACTGTGCAGCATTATTTATGCCATTCGATATATTTGTGGTTGTTGTTGCTGCCGTTGCCAATGGCTCACAGCTATCCCCCCCCCCCCCCCCCCCACACACACACCCGCTCACTGTTGCTCTTTATTATTATTATGCTGTCATTTCTGTTGTCGCGACATTGTCAGCAACATTGTTATTGTTGCCTTTGTGCGTCAATCCCCGTTATACCCGCTGCTGCTGCTCCCATCTTCCGCTCCTCTCCTGCGTATTGTCCACACGAAAGGGTTCAACTACTTCGTGTATGACACATGCCATAATAATTTTATGCCCTACAAATTGCTTAACCCTAAATATTTCATTAATATGGCAAATAGGTCTACAGATTTGGCCATAAGCATATGTTTTATAGCGCGTAAATCGATGTTGTTAGGTTTTTTGGGCTCCGCTTTTATTTTATTTGGTAACCAATACAAATCTATTACACTTGAATATTTCCTTAGGCTGCCATCAAAATTTACAGAAAACATTTGTAAGTTTCATAAAAACATTATATCTTATGCGTCTCAAAGGAAATGTATTAACATAAATTCATGCGTATGAGACTCTCTTGCTGAATCTCAATACCCCCTCTCAATCTATGCATAATATCATATAGCTGAATTCATATACCAAAGACGATCTTTATGAAATCTGACACAAACGAAACATCCGAATCAACCAACCGTGAGGAGAATCGCTCACAGACTGAATTACCGCCTTCAGCTGACAGCTACGCTAAGCTGGCATACGCACCAATACAATAATAAGTAGAGAGTATACGCTCTCAAGTCTCCTGCGCTCTCACAATCCACAACAAAGTAATGGGATCGAGAACTTTTCGACCAATGGCGTAACTGCACGTTCTCGACTGTAGCTTAAGCCCGGCAAAACAACGAAGATAACAGGATCGAAAGCTTTACGACCAATGGCGTGAATGCTCGCCTTATAATGTATTTAAAGCTTGCTAACGGCTCTAAGATAATAAAGCTAAATGCTTTACGTCCAATTGCTCGTTCGCTACTAGCAAACATATCACACACACACAACAAACAAATAAAGCTAAAATAATGGCACAAACATAGTTTTTGTAATCATTGAAAAATTGTATTTAAAGGTACAACATGCACAAGCAAATTCAAAGATAAAATAAAAATAACGATTTTTATAATCAATTGATGAAAAAATAAAAAACATTGCGACCGTTGCCTCGACACATCTATGGGTGCTCAGGCTGAACTGACCTGTAGTCAAGTGTCCCTATATATATATATACATTTATATTATATATATATATGCAATGCTGTTTAGAAAACGTTTGAACTGTTCACTAGCGCGAAAGGGAATCGGCACAACAGCGGGCACCAATGGAGAGCAGCAGAGACAAAGCCACATAACCGCGCAACCCACGCCTCGCCACACGGCAGCCACCCCGACCGGAGGCAAAACGTTGAAGCGCTTCGCTTGCCTTTGATATGTGACCATTTAAGTGGCAGGCGGATGGTGCAATAACAACATTGCGAACCCAAAGTAACATATACAAAGAATACCCTCGAGGGTAGCAATCTGCAGTGCAGACAGTTTGGCAAGCACTGGAAACAGCGCACAGTCGGCACAGTTTAGCGAGCCCCGTTCGACAGAGATACAGTGGAACCTGGCTTGTTGTTTTTACTACAAATATATACGAATTTTATTGATTTTATTTTATTGTAATTGGTGTTAAGCGTAAAAATAATAAATGTATTGGTGGTAATTTATAATACACATACATATATACGTTTGCCATACATATACAAATGTATTTAGATGCATATTGTATATATACATATGTCTGCTTATATAGTTCTATATACATTGATACTTAGCTCTATGTAGAAAGTTGCTTATCGTCTATTACTAAAACAAACATAGCGTCGTATCTAACTTAAGTGTTTAAGGACTATTCTCAAGATAATCCGTATCATTGCCTTTTACTCTGGCAAAGCGGAGGTGGTCACAAACCCTAGCTTAGTTAAGACACAAGAGATCGTTGAAACAATGGACGACGGCTTAGTAGCCGTCGTGCGATCATGTCAGATGGGAGGTGGCAGCTGACGCTGCTTGTGCGCCAGCAACTGCCTTGCCGGAGAAAAATCGATTGCCTGGCTGCGTGGTAAACAGCAGTGTATCCACCGAGGGTAATATTTGATTCGAGTGCACCAATAGTGGCACCATCGATACCTGGGTAGGCCCCGAGCCCAGACCCATGCTGCCTGCTCCAGTGCTCGTGCAACTGGTGACCTTGCCCTGTGCATTTAACGTAAAGGCAGGCAAATAGTAGTTCGTGGTCCGACCAGTGTTCACATGTGTTGTAGTCGAGCTGGTTGTATTGCTGGAGGAGACAACTGCCAGTTCCATGGACGCGGGCGAAGAGAACGGTGATGATTCGAGCGAGGGGCAGGCCAAACGATTGCCATTGGCTGGCTTATGGGGCACTGTAAAACCGATAGAGACAACATTAATATACTGTTTATAGAATATTTGACGCAATGGACTTACAAAAATCTTCTTCAGCTAAAAGTTCATCGGGTATTTCGTTTTTAACTTGAAAGTGCAGGGCGGCAGCTGCCTCGGAGGAGATGGCATTGTCGGAGGTGCCAATATCGGTATTAACAACCGTCGGAACAAACATACCACTCTCTTCCATCTCCAGTGCCTGTTCCATAATCAGGTCCTCGGCTGATGTGAGGCTCAGGCCGTTCAAATCCAGATATGAACTTTGCATTTGCAGTGGCTCCTTCTTAATTTGCGGCACGGCAACGGCCAATGTTGAGCCTGCAGCTGGCTTTTGTTGTAGCTGCTTGGGTGTCAGTTGCTTGCGTTCCCGCTTAGTCTTCAGTTGTTTGATGGGCAAAGCAGACGATTGCGACGTCGGCGATGGTGGTGTTGGTTGTGATGCCGCTGCAACACCAGTAGCAGCACTCGTCACTTTTCGTACTGGCAGCGGATGCACTTGCTGCAATGCAGTGCCTGCTGGCAACGTGATGCCCAAAGCGGCCAATGTAGCTTGCTGTGGCTGTTTCTTCTTGCGTGTCTGCTTTGCCGCTGGCGTAGGTGTATTAACTGGTGGCTTGGCAGGCTCTCTGCTCGGCTGCGGTTCTCCATCAGCTCTGATCTGTGGTTCCTCCGTTGCTGTTGTTGTTGTTGTTGGTGCTACAGCGGCGGCGGCAGCTGCCGCTTTCTGTGCCTTGGTTGTTGTCGATTTCTTTGAACAGTAGGAGGGAATGTTCTCGAGATGTTCTCCAGTCTTGTGATCCACTTTGTGGCGACGTCGCGTATGCTTTAGCCAGTTGGGAAAGTTAGTGAAATCGCGCGGACAATAGTTGCACTTGAAGGGACGCATGCCCGTATGAATGTTCGAATGCTGTTTCAGCTTCGAGTTGCTAATGAAGCTCTTGTCGCACACAGTACAGGCAAATGGTCGCTGCTCCAGATGCACCAGATTGTGAACCTTCAAGCAGCGTTCGGTTTTGTACATTTTGCCGCATTTCTCACAGCGATAGGAGCGTGTCTGAGCATGGTATTTCTGATGACGCTGCAAATGTGAGCGCTCCTGAAATCGTTTCTGGCATTCGGGACATTCGTACGGCTTCTCCGAGGAGTGAATGCGGGCATGATGCGTCAAATTGATCTTCTGCACAAATTTCTGACCACAGATATCACACTGGTACTTCTTATTATCACTGTGTATCTTGCGATGCATCCACATACTGCCCAGTTTTAAGCTGTAATTATGGATATGTTTTAATTGGTGCTTTACCATAAATTATACTCTCTTACCATTTGCCACAGTCTGGGCACTTCTTCCATGTATCCTTGCGGCCCTCACTGCGATGCGTCTTCAGGTGCTTCTTAAGTCCAGCCAACAGCTCGAACTCCCGCTGGCATTCGGTGCAGTTGTAAGTAATGCGCAGACGATGTGCAGCTGCCTTATGTGCGTTCACCAGTTGCAGATTGTCCAAAACCAAACTATTGCAGTCCAGGCACTTGTAGAGGGGCTGTGGCCTAGCTTCCAGCTCCAATTTTGCACTATTATCTAGGGGAGCCGCTGGCGGTGGCATTTCGTTCGTTTGCTCCTGGGGCTGTTGTTGTTGTTGTTGGAATATTGTAAACGTATGCGGCGTCAGTTCCGCTTCACAGATCTCAACTTTGGTCTGTAGCGACGTTTTTGTTGTATCTAACGGCGCTGGCTTCTCCTCAACTGGTTCTTCCTTAAACACCTTCAGGCGCACCGCTGTGGCAGCTGGTAATCGAAGCTTTCGCTGTGTCTGGCTAGCCTGCACATGCATTTGTTCGGGTGATGGTAGCTTCACTGGTGTCGTTGATATCTTCTTGAACGGCGAATTGGTAAACGCGTTTGGCGGCTCCGGCCTCAAGAAGGTAACATTGAATTCTGAATTAGTGTTATCATTAGTGCTGCCATTCGAGAGGTTTGCCACGTTCACCGCACTGGGACTAGCACTGGGACTGGGAGCAACCAAATCATCACGACAGACCTCGGCGGTCAAATTGAGCTCTGTGTTGTTTTGGGCGCTTTCATCGAGTACGCGCCAAAAGTCCGTTGAGGAAAGGCTATTACCGTTTATGAAGCTCGCCGAGCTTATTGTCACACATGCGGACAGATCGATGTCCAGGGACTCGTCCTTAATGCTCGATATGGAGTCAAAATTATTAATGCGCAGCAGTGAGCTGAGGATCTCATCGTGGGCCGCTTTGGTGGGTGTGCTTGCATTAGCCGCATAATCACCGCCATATATTTTAGGCGGCAATTTTTTGCTTGGCGCCTCTTCTTTCATTCTCTTTGATTTGCCTTTACACTCCATTCGCAACTGCGACACGTAAAGGTTATGCGGTCGGCGTTTCTTAATTCTTGGCGCTGGCGTTCGTCAATTTCATACACTGATTTAAAGTTCGCAGTCACAGCACTGTTAATTTGTACATTTCGGTTGATTTTGTACGATAAAACACTTAAATATTGCACAAAAACACCAAAAATATTGTGAAATGCGCTTTGTTTTTGTCACGCTATGAATTCTCAAGTCGCCATTTTGACAAACAGTGTTGTAAGATGCGACGCCTTTGCGAGCGCTAAGGGTTGCACAAACTTCGGTTATCGATAACCGGCTATTATATAAAATACACAGAATTTTACCCTAAATCACTACAGTCCCACTGTTGTTGTGACCAGTTTTATAATAGTGTGACCACACAGCGTGTGCCACAAATACAAAAATGGCGTCTGAACAAGACGAGAACGTTGTAATAGAAAATTCAGGTAAATAATGCCAAAAAATAGTGTAGCTTATATGATTCAAGTGCGCTGTGAAATATAAATCACGTTGCCTATTTACTTTTTCGTGAGCATCGTATATATATAATCTGCAATAAAGCTTATTCTAAGTGGAAAAAACGTGAACATCACGCGGCGCATACGTAAAACCCACCACATTGTGCAAAGAGCCCTACTTACGCACACATATGTGCACATTTTTGTACACTCACATTCGCGCTCAATTTAACATAAGCGAAGTTTTAATTGTTTGTTGTACATATTGCAGCGCGACGAACTCGTTCGGGTCGACCTGTGGCTGCACCAGCACCAGCGGTAGCGCGAACGACGCGTCGCACATCCAAGCGACAAGCGCAGGTCAGTATCTCAAACACTCAAACACCCCCACATATATGTACATACACATACCCTCTCTCTAATGGTTTGCATATGATGAAAAACATGCATCTTCATGCGGATGTGGCGTTGTTCCATTCGCAAATGATGGCTTCCAGGTGATTTTTTGCAAGGGCCAACTGATTATGCAAAACAATTAAAGAATAGGGAAAAGCGAAGAATTCATCACCACAACTCAATCTATTACAAGTATCTATATAAATGATGTTTATGTTTATACTCCTACCAGTTAAGTGATCAAGAGGAAGCAAACGAGGTCAATAATCAACCAACCATGGTACATCCCGAAGAGGACGAGTTGGAACCCGCTGTAGCAGAAGCAACTGGTGCTGCTGTTATTGACGACATGCAATACGATGAGCTTGCACAGCTGCAGCAAAATCTAGATGACGATGTGGACATGTTGGCCACAGCTGAAACAACTGGCGGAGTAGATGAAAAGAGTTCCTCATTTCCTTTTGGTGCCGTGACCGAACAGCATTCAGAGACCAGTGATGAGGTCAAAGAGAGTCGAACCGAAGAAGGTGTGGACACATCGCTGTTAGCCTCCTTGGCCGGCGATAATGCCAACAGTTTACCTTCTGTGGGTGGAAATGATGAAAATGAGTCGAACACAAAAAAAGCTAACTTTGAATCAAATTCAGATGCTCTACAGCCACTTGCGAGTAAACTAAGCTCGTCCGAAGATTCTATATCGCATCAAGCGATAGCCGAGAGCTTAGGCGATGAAATCGACCATGAAATGGACACTAGTAATGCGACTATTGTAAATACTGAAATCATCTCAGAAGATGAACTGCCGCCACCAAGTAAGCCAGAAATTAATGACGCCGAAGAAGTATCCGATGAGGAACTGCCAGCGCCACAGCGTGCAGAGCTGCCTGCTGATGCTGAAGTCATATCTGAGGATGAATTGCCCACGCACAACAACAATAACGAATCCAAGCATAGTGGGAAACGTAAGGCTGGCAAAGATTCGAATGCAACACAAGCAGCCGATGCGGATGACGAGCATCAGAGCAGTAGCGAAGGGAGCTCTAAAGGCAAGCAACCGGAACAATATAACCCCTGCAGCCCAACTACTGAGAGTAACGATGCACCGCCCTTAGAGAAACGCCCTAGGGTCGATGAAGGTGGGTAAAGATTCTTTAGAAAAATATGACATGAATTAAGATCTAAAATTATTTTCTAGCAGATGGCGAGCACAAAGATAAGGATAAGGAAAAAGATAGCCAGAAGAAAGATAAAGAGCGTGACAAAGATAAAGAGAAGGAGAAGGAAAAAGACAAGGAGAAAGATAAAGATAAAGAGCGAAAAAAATTGCCGGATCTCGACAAATACTGGCGAGTCGTCAAAGACGATGCATCCGACTTCACAGGCTGGACATATTTGCTCCAATACGTGGACAGCGAGGTGAGTATCATTATATATAGCCAATTGATGATGGGTTTATAATTCTATATTCAAATTTAGTCTGATGCTGAGGCGGCACGCGAAGCCTACGACACATTCCTGTCGCATTACCCCTACTGTTATGGCTATTGGCGCAAGTATGCGGACTACGAGAAGCGCAAGGGCATCAAGGCAAACTGTTATAAGGTGAGTACCCAACACAATTTTATGCAATTAAACAAAATTTGCCATTCTTTGTTTTATGCTTAATATTACAATTACAATTGATATTACATGTGTTGTTATAATGCAATTTATTATAACTGAATAAAAAATAATCTACATTCAATAAAAGCAACGATTACCAAAAAACCAGAACAAACTAAATTACAGAAAAGAAGTCCAAATATATATTAATTTATATGTACATAGAACCCAACTGATCCATACACATCTAGTCAGCGGTCAGTGTCAGTATCTGTGTTGCACACGGTCTCGATTGATTAGTATTTTCTCATACGTACTCTGGCATACAGTACACATTCAATACAATGAATTATTATTTCAGATATGATACTGCATGTCCTCTATTCTAAATGTTAGCTCAAGCTGTATAATTCGATATCTAATGTATTCGTCTTTGTATTCTACATTTTTGGGAAATAATTTTAAAAAAGGTTTCTTTATATTTACTTGTTCTAGTTATTAATCAAATGAATTTGATATTTATTTAATTTTTAACTGATTTTATTTGCTTTTACAAGCGAATAATATTTTAAATGTAAAGCAAATCTATTCGGGTATATTCACCGTTTTATAATCTATAGATAACTCAATCGTTGACCTGGGATCTTATTTGCCGCCCCTTTTCTCAATGTATGTGTTTTTAATAATATGTCGTGTTTTTTTATATGTGTTTAATTAGTTGTTACTTTAGATACAAAAGCTCACAATTGTCTTTACACAACACGTTCGATTATCGGACCCACTTAACTAGTTTTTATGTGTGAGTGAACGCAGTTATTGTTGTGCTTCAATTGCAACAAAGCATATTTGTTGTATATTCCGCAACATTTCGTTGTAATAAAAACCAATAGAAAATATCACAACTGACCCACGAATTCGACAAGTTGGTCAACTGTTCGTTTATCAACTTCTCTGCTCCACTTCGCACGTTATCGTTGTCGTTATCACCATACAACTCCTTCGACTCCTACAACACGTTCTCTCGTGAAGCCGTAAGTAAGTACAAATGGCGTTTAAATGAAATTTTTAAGTCTATATGTGCAAAAAAAAAAAAATGAATATATAATATATATATGATTCAAGATCGTGTTACTTTATCTGTGTGTGTGTCTATCTTAATTATGTATGTATTTATGTATTTTAAATTAAGTTATTTAAGATTCATAAGCTAGTATTTAAGACACCAAGACACCACCTACAAAAACAACAATAAAAATATATACCCGAGTTAGTTAGACTTCTAAGTGTTAAGTACGGAACTTGCTAAAGTATTTTTCAAATCTTTGTAAACATTTCTATTTCTTCTCTACGTTCAACAATCAAAAAATCTGAAACCGATTCAAAAACATATTGTTATAAAAAAAAAACAAATGAAAAACACGTAGGTATTTGAGCGGGGTCTGGAAGCCATCCCCTTGTCAGTCGATCTTTGGATACATTATCTGATGCACATCAAGTCGCATCACGGCGACGAGGAGCAATTCATACGCAGCCAATACGAACGAGCTGTGCAGGCGTGCGGCCTAGAGTTTCGCTCTGACAAGCTCTGGGATGCGTACATACGTTGGGAGAATGAATCTAAGCGTTATCATCGCGTAGTCCAGATTTACGATCGTCTCCTTGCGATACCTACCCAGGGATACAATGGCCACTTTGACAAGTGAGTTCGAAGAGTTTTGCCAACTTAATTGGATTTTAAATGTCTTCCCCTTGCAGTTTTCAGGATATCATTCATCAACAAGCAATAACCTCTACCATTAGCAACGAGGAGTTGCTCCGCTTGCGCAGAGACTGGCACGAACGCCAGCAAAGCAAATCATCCAAGTCATCGTCCAAAAGTCGTCGTGACAGCGCCAGCTCAAAGGATGCTAAGAGTGAGCGCGATCGTGACCGAGAACGTGACGATAAGCACAAGGAGGCGTCTGGTGGAAAATCCCCCAAAGACAGTAGTGAGACACCCACTGATGAATCAGTAAATAACCCCGATCTGACCATAAACGAGTCATCATCCGCGGCTGTCACATCGAAGGCAGCTCACATTGATCTCAGCGATCTCGGCACGCTCAGCGAAGAGGAGATAACCGCCATTAAAGAAAGGGCCATATCAGCGCGACGCAAGCTGCACAAGTTAACTGTTAATGCAGTGACGGCTCGCTGGTCTTTTGAGGAGGGCATAAAGCGCCCATACTTCCATGTGAAGCCACTGGAACGGGCTCAGCTAAAAAACTGGAAGGACTATCTTGACTTTGAGATCGAAAAGGGCGACCGAGAACGCATTTTGGTACTCTTTGAACGTTGCCTCATTGCCTGCGCTTTGTATGATGAATTTTGGCTGAAGATGCTGCGCTACCTAGAGTCGCTGAATGACCAAAGCCAAAATATAGTGAGCATTACGCGTGAGGTGTATCGCCGTGCCTGTCGCATTCATCATCCGGAGAAGCCTAGTCTACATTTAATGTGGGCCGCTTTTGAGGAGTGCCAACTGAACTTTGATGGCGCCGCCGAAGTGCTGGAGCGCTTAGAACAGCGCTGTCCCAATCTCTTGCAAGTAGCCTATCGCCGCATCAATGTAGAACGACGTCGCGGTGCTCTGGACCAATGTCGTGCACTGTACGAACATTACATTGAACACAGCAAAAACAAAGGGATTGCCGGTAGCTTAGCCATTAAATACGCTCGATTTCTCAACAAGATCTGCAATGATCTGGGCGGTGGCCTAGCGGTACTGCAGAAGGCGCTAGAGCGCGATCCGGCCAATACTCGTGTTGCCCTACAAATGATTGATTTGTGCTTGCAACGACCGCAAGTTGTAGAGCAGGAGGTTGTACAGATTATGGATAAGTTTATGGCACGCGCTGACATTGAGCCAGATCAAAAGGTGCTTTTTGCGCAGCGGAAGGTCGAATTTCTGGAGGACTTCGGCAGCACTGCCAAGGGTCTGCAGGATGCTCAACGCTCACTGCAATTGGCTCTTAGCAAAGCTAACGAGGCGCAAAAGAAAAGGTACGAACGTACGAACGGGACCAAATCAACGAAAATATAACTATTGCTTTTCTCTATCCCCCAGCAATGACACAAGCCCAAGTCGCAAGAATTCTACCAGCACGAAGGATAGCGCCGTCGCCCCCAGTGGTTCATCTGCCGCACCAAATACCTACAACAATGGTGGATCAGCTGCTGGAAATGCCAACTACAACTACAACTCGGTCAACTCAAGCGCCTACTATGCACAGCAGAGCGGTGGAGCCTATCCGCCCCAGCAACAACAGCAACAATCTTACGACTCCTACTATAACCAATGGGGTGGTTACGGCTCTGGGAGCAGTGGTGGAGGGGCCAGCGCCGGCGGTGCTAGCTACAATTATGGTCAGTGGAGCGGATATGGTAACTACTACTGAAACAGGCGTTTTTTCGCTCATTCGCGTTCCCTTTATCCGTACAGCTCTGGGTGGTGGCGCCGGAGTTAGCTTCGTTAAAGTCTAATGTAAAGATATTTGTAATTTTATAATTTGTTTCTTAAAATACATAATTAAAAATATGTAGCATATAAGTGCTTAAATACATATGTGAATAATATGTGCAACAGCCACATCCACAACCAATACAAATACAAATACGAAAACAATATACAAATTCTATACTATAATGGATATTAATTTAATCGGTTCTCTGTAATCGCTCGATATTAAAGTTCATTGGCAATTACATTGTTGTTGATGTTGGTTCGAGAAAATAGGACATGTATTTAGAGCTAATAAAAAAAATGTACACGTTAGAAATTAGTTGTGTCATTTATAGACACGGCCGATACCAAGCTACCTCGCCGCTGTTGCATCCAGTTACTAGAAGTGGCTCGCGTGGACTGAACTTGGCGCAGAGCACTACATCCTGATGCTCAATAATGTTGGCCAATTCTACTAGCTGTCGTGGACTATGTTTCACCTGCTCTAGCATTATCTGACTGGGATAGTCACTGCAGTCAGCCTGGTAGCCGAGCAGGCGCACCCCATTGGCATAGGGCGAACAGATGATGCGACCATCCGCTGAAAAGCCCGGCTCCTTAATAAATCCTGGCTTGTTGTTCGTCTCGGAGGCATAGTAGAGTAACTTTTTGGCATTCACTAATATGGTATGTGCAGCATTTTCACTTGCCGTTGCCACAGCTGCAGCTGAGATGTTGCTGAGCGGTCTCATGCGCAAACCTGCACCAAGCTCTGGACCGACGTTGTCATTATTGCTATTGCCACTTCCACTAGCACTGGCACTGCTGCTGCTACTACTGCTGCTGGTGCTGCTGCTCCGACTACCGGTTGTCTCTGTAGCCGCAGCAGCAGAATCTGTGGTTTGTGTACTCTGATCCCCACCCAGAGCAACGCGTGTACGCGCTGCACCACTTAGCAAGCGACTGGCCGAGGAGTAGCGCAGTGGCAACACACCGCTGCTGATGGCGTAAACAAAATTGTAACCGCTAACATGATTGGCAGAGTTACGTGCACGACTCTGACGTATAGCTCTCTCCTGCACCGTTACCTCAGCCGCCCAGATGTCCGGTATGAAACTATCGGAGCGTGCACTAACCAAGGACATTGTGCCATTTACTCGCCGTGGGTAAAAGATTCGGCGCACCTGTGAACGAGTTTGTACACCTCGCTGTGCCGGCTCTTCTTGCTCGGTTTCACTGGATTGGGGAAGTAGTGTGCGCTTCTTCTTAGTCAAGGGCTCGTCCTCGTCATTGCTGTCGTCATCAATCAGTTCGGGCTCCTCGTTTATATCATGTATACAAGTCCATTCGCTCTGTTCATCGCAGCTGACATTCCTAGTCAGCATGCAGCGACACTGTGGATGTATCTGTAGCGCCATTATCATCTCTGCATCGTTTTGCTCTGGAAAATCAGTGACTAGTTCCACACGATTCTTCTTTTGATACTTCGAAAAGACATGATCATATTTCGCAGCCTGCGGTATATACTGATCGCCCAGCTGCATAAGCCTGTAGATACCAGGCTGTCATGGGATACACATTAGGCTAGCTTAAAATGCTTGAATGACTGCCGTCTTACCCGGAATCCACACAGATCCTTGTGCAATGTAGTCAGATCCAAGTGATGTACTATCATAATGTAACCACTGCTGGTGCATAAAACCAACTTATCTCCAGCTGGTGAGATGCGGCAACGCATAAGTCCACTGGCATGGAAAACACGTTGCGAGATTAAACCCTGCTCTGTCTGCGATTTGATGTCCCATGTAAATATGCTACCATCGAAGCCAGAAGTAACAAGCAACTTATCCTTGGACGAGTACTCAATGTTCTTCACCCAATTCGAGTGACCATGAAGAACGCGCAGCTTTTGCTTCATGTTGCGCAGATCCCACAAAGCTACTGTAAAATCATCTGAGCCTGTGGCAAACAAACGATCATCGAAAAACCTAAAAAAAAAATTGATTTTGTTTCAACAAACAATAAAAAGGAAGGCCATGAATGCTTACTTAATGCAATTGACACTGTCAGTGTGTGCATCGGGAATTTTGAAGATTTCCTTTTGTGTGATTGCATCAAAGACGAGAACGCACTTTCGCTCAGTAGCTGCAACAACCATGGTGCCATCGGCATTAAACTCCAGATTGAATATGGCACCAGTATCCTGCCCAGCGGTGCTTGGATTGCAATTGGAATGGTAACTGTTGAACATGCCCATAGAGCTGTAAATGCGACGCATCAGTAAATTTTCATCTCCCGTGTGTCTATGGTGATGGAGCCAGCAGCTCTCTCGTCGGCTCAGATACTGATCCATTGTTATTTTATGTGCACAATCCGTATGTCCGTTGCCACTGAACAGATCTGGTAGCTTGTGTATATCAAAATTTCTCGACTGAGTAGAGATGTCAATATCGGTAAGTCTGTGACCAGTGACTGCGAAACATCGAGTCACAATCAATTTGATATGATTTTAAACATAAATCTAATTAGAACTAAATGCATTATTAAAGCATTTTTAAAAAGAATTCTCTACGCAACAAAACGCCACCTTTATAACATTTATAAATTCTATATGGCTTACGATTTACATAAACATTTGACAGCCCTGACCCTGATTGTGACTGGTTTAAATATCGACATGTAGAATGTAACATTGTTGCAGCTTGGTCGTTTAAATTTTACGCATGAATGAATTTTGTAATTAGTAAAATATATGCGATTAAAATGAATATATAGCAACTATCATTTATTTAAATTTAATGCATAAACACAATAAAAATTTTAAATTGGCATAAAAAAATCCTATATATTTATTTGATAATTGTGAGTATTTTGTGAATCATTATCTCATAAATATATTAAACTTTTTTATTGGGTTCAGTTTTACAACATACATGTTTAAAACTGTTGTTATTGTTTTTATGCACTGTAGCCCTGGCAAGTGTGGCCATTTGTGCTTGGCATCAAATGCTTGGGCACACTAGTTTCTGTGGGCAATAAACAAAAAATGAACACTTTTGCAGCAAGTTCAACAATAAATATGTAGGAATAATATTTTAGCAGCAAGAAATTAAATAGCAGCAACAATATGGAGCGCTTCGCTTTTAAGATTGATGCGGCTCTCAAGGCAAACTTGTACAAGATATGTCGTCTGTGCGGCATCGATAATCCGACCAAAGTGCCAATACTACCCGTTGAGAGTGATGTTGTGGACCTGGACGAGCCCAGCCTGAGTCAAAAAGTTTTCGATTTGGTTGGCTTTATGGTAAACAATATCTATCTTCCTACTGAAAATACGTGAGATTGTAAGAAAAAACGACACCCCATTTACAGGTTACACGCAACGATAAAATGCCGCAGACAATGTGCAGCCTGTGCGTGGATAAAATCAATGATTTTTATGAGTTTAGGGAAATGTGCTACGCAACAAACAATCAAACACGAAAACTACTGGGCCTTAAAAATGTGGATCCCCAAAAGGTAAACAACAGCATCAACTCAAAAAAAAAAACATGAAGGTATTTACGAACTTATCCCATTCACAGATTGTTGATGTGAAGCCGATATTTAAAAGTGAGCCGTTAACAGTTGCTGCACCTGCAAAGCGCGGGCGTAAACGTAAAACGGAGGACGCAGCGAGTAGCAGCAGTAACGTCAAATCAAGTACAATAGATATTGCTTTGGATGCTGTCAAAAATGAGCCAGTAACCTGGCGGAAAAAACTGCGCTTGCAGCAGCAGTCGCTGCCAGCAAACAAAACTGAAATGTAAGTACTTTGGTAAATAACAAAAATGCCAATATTATTAATTATTTCATATGCAGCAAGGAGGAGCCTGCAGAGGTGAACAAATATTTTTTATCCGCCAAGAAAACTCGTAAGGCCAGTTGCAGTGTGTGCAGCAAACGTTTCGAGAGCAAGGAGCTGGCCGAGAAACATAAAACAGCAGCACATTTACCTACAATATTGCGCTATTATTGCAGTGCCTGCAATCAGAGCCATCACAGTCTCAGCGATATTAAGGCCCACCAGCTGTGGCATAAACTATCCAAGACACCTTATCAGTGTCCACTGTGCGATGCAAGCATTGCGAATAACTATGCCTACTCTCGTCATCTGCGCGAGCATACGATACCCACCCCCATCGAGCTGCTGGTGCTCGACCGAGAGTGTCCATTGTGCAAGAAAACGTTTCTAACGAATTTCTTTTACAATACACATCCTTGTGCTCGTCGCACACGCCAATGTGGTGGGTGCAGTCGTCTGCTCAGCAGTGAAATCGCCTATATGCGCCATGCACCGCACTGTGCGAAGATTTACTTGAATCACTCCAAGCACATAATGCCCGAAGCAGCTGACCATGAAGCGCAAATGCGCATTAAAAACGAAAACGATTTGGATGCCGAGGACATTGCGCAATCGTCAAGCGTATACACCAAACAAGGGGATATGCAGCCGGTGGTTGTGCTCGAACGCTTGGGATCACCGTTATTGCGCGCATCATCTGTGGGCCGTAGCACTGATCGGGTGTCATCCAAAAACTATTTGAAACGCGTCGATCAGTTGCTTAAGAATACAATGAACACGCTTGTTAGCATTAAACATGAGCCGGAGGTGCACATCGATGACACTGGACCTCCGCTAGCCGCTGAAGATTCTGACAGCGACCCAGATGATGAGCCGCCTGCCTGTGATGATTTCCATGCAGATGCTGGCTACGATGACAGCGAAGAGGATGCGGCCAATGACAGTGGTAATGCAGCAGCTGTTCCAGCAGCTATTGCGCCAGCTGAGTCTGTGAAGCAGGAAGTCTTTGATGAATCCTACGACAAACAGCTGATGCCCAGCAGCGATGGCGTGCAAATCAAACAAGAGCCCCTCAAGCTTAAGCTGAAAATAACCAAAAATCATGGGCAGCTCAATTCATCCCTCGTAGATGACGACAACGAGCTGCAGGGTAAGAGCGCTAAAAAGAAAAAGAAACGAAAGCACAAGGAGCGTAATAGGGATTCGGAGGCAAGCGACAAAGCGACGGCGACGGCAACAGCCCCTGACGAATCTCCAATCGAGGGAACAGTAGAGACTGCAGGCAGTGCTTTTATGACCATTAAGCAGGAACGTTTGGATGACAGCTTTGCTAGTGATTTTGCGCCACGTGAGGAGTTCGAGCCACAATCTACTGTCATGACGAGTATACCAATGCTACAGCTTGAGCGCAACTACAGTGAGGATAACCAAAAGTTACCCGAAGTGCAAGAAGATGTTAAGCCGAATCGATTGGAGCTAGATCGTATAATGCAAATTACTCATATAGCCAGCGGTGTGGTCATGGCAGAGGAGGCAATGCCCCCAGAGAGCGCCGTGGAAGCAGTGCCCCAGGAAGGCCATGTGGTGGAGAGACCAGCAAATCCCATAAAGAAGAGTGCAACAAAATCCACAGCACGTAAAAGCACTGGGGGCGGCGTGCAACGGGATATTGCATCTTCGTCCAATTCTCTACCAACCTCAGTGGAGCAGTTGCCACAAATTGTGGCAGTGGAAAGTGGCGCCTCGGTGCCCTTCAATGCAGTTGCCATAAAGCCTGAACCACTGAATCGTGGCTATGCGGATGAGCAGGATTCGGCCGGCCACGACGAAAGGGAAACGGAGCAACATGAACCGGGCAAATCCAATGAGATAAACCACAATGAAAGAATGGGCGAAGAGTCGGAATATATAAATAGTCTAGATTTAAGTAATGTGATTATTAAGCAGGAGAAGGACTTGCACATCTCCGATGTCAATATCAATGGTAGCGAAGCTGATAACACGCTTTACAATGGCTTGCACGAGAGTGAGGATAGTGCGGAAGATGAAAACGTCGAGGGTGATGATGACGATGGTAGCGCTTCATCAGCGGATGAAGCGGATGAGAACATGGACACGTACGAAGATCGGGAGGAACGCATTTATCGTGAAATAGAGCTGCAGCCATTAGAGGAGCAGGACTTAGTTAAAAACCCGGCATCAGAAACAAGAACCGAGTCTGAAGTATTGCCAGCGGATCCACAGACAGAAACATCAAAAGAACTGCAGTCAGAGACGATGCCAATGGAGACGCCAATTGACGTGGAGGCAGTGAAGCCACGATCAGAAATGCCGACAGTGGAGTCACAGGAAATAGCGACCAGCGCATCAGAGGAGCAAGGTGTTGAAGCGAAGCCAAGCGAAGCCCAAATATGTGAAATACAGCCCCCGAGTATGGATGAACAGTCGGAATGTGATCGTGATCAAGAAAGACATCAAAACCTGTCGAAGTCGCAAGGAGAACCACAAGTGCCACACGAGGCCGAGTCGCAATCGCAAACAGCTTTCAATTTTGTCATCACTAGCGTTTGCAGCCAGGCAGAGGAGCAGCCATTGGCAGCCACGGACGAGGCGATTGGAGATATCAACCCGGAAGCACCTCAGTTGGATGCAGCTGAGAAGACCGTAACAAATGAGGAGCACAACACATCTCCAGTTGTGACGCTGAGCGCGCCTAAGGATAGCGAGACACTGGCCCAGCCAGTCTTTGCAAGCTCGTCAAACTACAATTGCGCTGAGGAGCAACAGAATGTACTGAACCATGAGCTGTCCGCTGCTGTCCAAGAGACGCAGGTGTCAGAGCAAGAGACAGAGCTGGAGCCGGACCCAGACCCGGAACCAGAACTCTCGACTACAACAGTTTGCATTGGGGCGCTCGCTGAAGACGTTCGCAGCGCCAGCGAAGAGACTGAGAACCGCATCAATGAGCAGCAGCAACAGCAGCTGGAGCAGGTGCAGCAGCAAGTGCAACAGCAGCAGCAACAGCCGCGTTTGGCAGTCGATGATGATTCGAACATCAATGAAATAGCTGAAAATAATAATAATGCCAACATTGAACGGGAGCTCAACGACGATGCAAATGTGGCTCAGGAAAACCCTATTGAATAAGCTAATTCCTAATTCCTAACTAATTTTAAGCATACAGTTACGTTCACTTACATAGACGCCATAGACTCACCTTGTATATATATAATAGAAGTATTTCATACAGAATCCTTAACTTAGTTGCATAATACTCGTATATATAATATATACGTTACCAAAATTCGAATAATACAATGCATGTAAAGTGAAAATTAGTTTAAGTTAGATATACACAACTTTATTTACGTAAATTACATAAATTAATGGCTTATATAATACAATAGAATACATAATATATATATGTATAAGTAACTATATATATATATAGAATACATGTACGTAGTTGTACTTATTTAAATACACACAAATCGCACAAAACTCTTTCGACTCGACAATGCATTAATTAACACAACTTGACCCTCGACCTTTCAAGTATTTTTCCAAAAACAAACAAAAAACCAAAAACATATTATCTAATTTCAACATATATGTGAAATGTTTAAAGAAATGACTACATTTATATGCATTTAATGCACTTTAACTAAAAGCATTAATACTTGGAATCAGTTTAGTTGGTAGATTGAAATTCCCTTAGTTTTGGGTTAGGCAAAGAAGATAATCAAAACTGGGGGTTAGTTTCTTTCAAAGAATTTTAGGAAGCATTATGGTCTGGTTATATAGGGCATATTTCAATTATACACCATTAGTATATTTGTATTACTTATTTAAACAATTTAGCTAATTATTAATATTAATTGTTAAATTTTGAGCGAATAATATTATTATATTATTAATTGATTTGCAATTTCGATTAGTCAGTTAGGGCTCGCAATTGCGAAGTTCATACGATTTTCAATTATAATTTGATATTAATTAGTTTGTTTTTAAATTTGTTAAAACATACACATATATTCACATTAACACTCACATTATTATCGCTGATATAGAAAAAACCTCAGTCCTCATATTTTTTCTAGGTTCATGCTTCGGTAAAGTTATTCCCATATAAATCTAATTGGGCCTCGATTATATTAATTTGTTAATTTAGACAAATTTTCACAAAATATATATCTTAGGTCTTATTTACAGACTTTTCCAAGTTGTTTTTTTTTTTTTGTTTTCTGACAGGGGCGTAGTTTTTTATAGTTTCTTCATTTTTGGCACATCTCTGAACAAGTTAAGCATATACAGATATACATATATTTTAGACTTATTGCTGTGGATACATATTCATATGTATGTACATAAATATTGTTGTTTTATTTAAACGTTTAAGTAATCCCTTTTATTTTTGTTTTTGATTATGAATTCGTTTTCTTTTGAGCAATTGAAGGTAAAGATATGCATATGTGAATTTGAAAAGAACGTTAAAAATGCTTTCATATGCAATCATCATTATTTTCGTATTTTTTCTCTCTTCGTTTAAAACTTGTGTTAATAAATTTGCGTTTTTTTGTTGTTTTACAGTTTTAAAAAAAAATTAAATTAAGGAGGTATGAAAAATTCACTAAACAGTATTTACAGCGATTTATCTGGCGATAAATCAAAATGCCAAATCACAAATTAAATTATTGCTTATATTTGGAATAAATTGTTTGCCATCAACCGTTCCTTATGGCCACGTTGTTGTCAATCTAGTCGGACCAATCGTTATCTGAGGAGGTATTATCCTCCTCATCGTCTGAATGCATGACGGTGCCACGTGCCGCAAGTGCACGACGCAAGGCATCGGCCAGGGCATCGGTGCCACCAGCGCTGCCATCACTAATCCGTTGTTCTGCTATCTTACGTTCAGTCACCGGCTTCAAGGTGTAACCCTCACGTATTTGACCCAATAGATCGTTGCGTGGATCGCTAGTGTTGGCGCTCGGTGCGGCCGGCTTCACTGTCTGCAATGCCAAAAGATGGATATTTAGACTGATTTCTTAATAAGTCCGAAATGCACTCACCTTAAGCGCTGTGCCCTTGCGTATGGCATCCATAAGCGCACTGCGCGTGTCTGGTTCAGGCGCGGGTGGCGCCACTTTGCCGGCCTGTGCCGATGTCTGCGTAGACGCAATGATTGGCATTTCCGGTGGAGCCATGGGTGGTGGTGGCGGAGGCGGCGGCGGCGCAGCCGCAGGAGGTGCTGGTGGTGGTGGTGGCGGCTAAGAAAATAGCAATACATTTAGTTACGAGAATAGAATTAATTGAGTAGCTTAACATACTGCTGCTGCGGGTGGGCAGACCATTGCTGGTGGTGGCGGCGGTGGAGCCGTTGTAATGGGTGGCGGTCTGCTGGGTGGCGGCGGAGCACGTGCAGCGCCCGGTGCCGTCGTTGGTAACGGCGGTGGCGGCTGTCGCGCCGGTGGTGGCGGCGGCGCTGATCTTTGGTTCCCATTTTGTGACTGCAAGAAAGTAAAATAAAAAGAATTTAGTCTGAATTTAAATAAAACTTAAAGCAGAGATTGCAACATACATGATGTGGATGATGACGACTGGGCACCGGTGGCGGTTCCGTGGGCGTTGGTTCCGTAGGCGATTCAGTCTCCTCCTGTTTGACCGAGGCCAGCACGTTATTGCTCTGAATAAAGTCGTAGATGAATGCACGCGTGTCTCGATCGTTTAGTTCGGACTCGGAGACGCCCGCCTTGGCAAAGAACTTAACCAACATCTCGTCGCTTTCATTGCCTGTCAGATCGAAGCCCTTGTTCGCATCCCAACCGACGTGGCTGATGTGCACAAAGTTCGTCGGCTGACTAATATCCGCTTTGGTCACTCGGCGTTTCTTATCCTTGCCCGCTGACCCGCTCAGTCCAAAGTTGCTTGACAAGAAGTTTTTCGTTGGCGCCTGCGCTGGTGCCGGCGCCGGGGTCAGTGTCACCGAGCTGATCTTATTGTTGCGCAGCTGCACGGCCCCGCTGTCCACTGTCGACGTCGTCGTCGTCGTCGACTGCATCGTATTTCTACTCTGCATAGAAGGCGGACGCGCTGGCTCTCGGTTGACAGGTGGCATTGGTGCATGTGGCGCCTGCTGTGGCTTTTGCCTATTCCGCTTCTCCAAACGTTTCCGATTCCGCGTCTCAATCGTGGTGTCTATGGTACGAAAGAACGAATCGCACTCATCCTCCGAGATAAAATTTAGGCCCACATTGCCATCCTACAAGCAAGTGCAAGCATACGTTTATTGGAATCTATGTCTGGTTATGTGGATCACTTACGCTGCCCTCAAAGGTGAGAAGAAACGGACGCGATTTAACAACCTGCATGCCATCGTATATCTCATGCTCCCAAATCAGTTCATTTTTGATCAGGCAGTAGGCGCGCAAGAAATAGGAGCGTATGGCGCTATCCTTGACGAAGCAAACGACGCCCGTATGCTTTTTCTTCCAGTGCGAGTGAGCATTGCCTTCCGTCTTGTAGATCTGCACAACGGCAGTGTTCAAAGTCTGCAAAGATGTGGCAATTGATTAGCATATGTTTGATTACCAAATGCATGTATTAGGGCAGTCCTCAAATCCCAGAGAAAAAAGCACAATTGGCCAATCTTGTGGCGGCCACACCTTTAGTCTACGTCTCATTTGAATGCAGCGGTCAAAGACTGCGAACCGTCGCGTTCGAGTTGAGAAACTCATCTGACTTTCGGTTTCGCGCTCTGCCGCTTGCTTTGTCACAGACCTGGTCTTTGGCCATACGCTGCTCATTTGAATACCGATTAGCCACATTCACTACAAAATCAACATTCATATTAGCATATCAGTCAAGCTGGCTAACTGCCTGCAACTGCAACAGCTCGGACTCTTGGGGATGCCCAGCACGTAGGCCTACAAATTGATAGCCGCCACGGACTCCACTGGTGAGACACTCTGTGCCCAGCTAGTTTCGTGCGGACTTGCACAATGCGCACTGCGTTATTCTCTGTCTGTGCGCAACGGAAATGATATTTGTGGTGATTTAAGACAGCGCTTTTCTTCATAATTTCCTTTTTTATTGGCCTCGCAGGAAATGGTGGCGATAAAGACCACAAAACTGCCACATTTAACAATTCTTGCCAAAAGTAAAGACAAAATAAATGCCTTTGCCTTATGATCATTAAATCAAAATCCAACAAAACTTTCAACAATTTCTAAACTGCAAACAATGGATCATATGTAGTATGCTGATGAGGAGTCAGTGGGAAGAGAGCATGTTAAAAAAGAGCTAGGGACAAAGGTGATTTCTATTTAATTATTTGCTTATGCCATTTTCGCTCAGATAAATAAAAGATCGGACTTTACAGAAGTTTCTTGATTTCAGCTATAAACAATGTGGTTATTAATGTTAAGCTTGACGAATAAATCTCGGCAGAGAAAATCTATTAAAATACAGATCTGTTATTGTGCTGTTAAGAACAGTGACACTGCTAATTAGAAATTCGGACCATCCTAACAGTGAGACAACAGAACTCTGTTATGTTAATTTGTATTAAGGCAGCGAAGCGATGTGAATTTAACATTTTATACTTTTTTGCTTAATGATTATTTATAATTATAATGCATTAGACTTTAACAACAATACTCCGATGATTATTTCCGAACGACTTATACACAAGTATTTTCTTCGTTTCCATTTTGTAACACTTTTATATGCGTTTGAATCTATTAGTCTTTGGCAGATAAGAACCCACATTGAAACCTTAGCGTTTTAACTTTCGAGCGACTACTGTATTATAGTTAACAGCTGTGTGATAAAGCTGTGGCGTCCTGCATTCTTTTAAATGGAATGCAATGTGGTCGGTAATCTATATATAGCTATGATACCCTATAAATATTTAGTAATATTGCCAGTTCAATTGAATTCTCAGACTCCGACTTAAACAATAGATAATTGTTATATAATCGCAAATTGGTTTGAGTTTTGTCGGCCTTGGCCACAACACTTGACATTTGGCCAAAAATGTTTTGGCCATGACCGAGCCATGTTTGGATAAAATTGATGGCACCTGTGCCATGCCTGGGTCACACGAATCTTGGGGCTGTGTGTTATGTATGGCAAGAGTGCATCTGAATGTGATATAATATGTGTTACATTAGTAGATAATGCGACAGCTAAACAACGGCTATCTTTCCCTTTTCCGCTCTCTTTTTTTGTCTCTTTCTGTGACCTCTTAAGATGAAAAGAGATGTAGACGTTGAAGTGTTGCCCACGCGGCGCCAAGTGCGAAATTGTGAACATATTTGTTTTTTTATTGATGTTTAAGCGCAACTGTAAATGTGTGTGTGTGTGGACATAAGTAGCATTGTAAAAAGATGTCTTGCCTTCTATGTGCATACTAAATGAGACAAGCTTTGCTGTTGTTGTTGCTGTCAAAAGCATAAAAATCGATGGCAACAATAACAAAAATAACTGGCCGTCACAGCGCAGCTTAGCTAAGTCTCTGCGCGGGTATGTGTACATGTGTGTGTGTGTGACAGATGGAAAGAAAGAGATGGATAGAGTGTGGAGGGCAAGGGAGCGATGGAGCGCATTAAAAGCCCAGCTAAATAGCAACGACAACAACAACGACAACGAGAGCAGCAGCGTCTGCAAAACGGCAAGAGCAACAACGAAAACAGACAAAAGGCAAAACAGCAATTAGAAAGTCCAGTTGCCAGTTGCCACAGTTGGCCAATGTACAGTAAAATGCGTGAAATAAGTTTATACAAAATAAATGCAAACAAATGAGTGACAAATGGGCTGCATCAACAACAACAACAACATCATGCTGTGAGGTAATTCTGCTAGGCCTAAGCGTTATCAGACTTCCAACATTGCAGTCGACGTCGCTGCCCGTCGTTGTAGGTGCAGCTGTGTCATTAACCACAATAGCCTTTGCGGGTCGGTCAATGGGGGCGTGTTCTGTAACTAATATTACATTGAATTATTTCTGTACCACCGGAGATGGATACAATTTACAGGGTATGCTTAATAAGGCCAGCTTAAAAATAGTCCAAAATTTAATTTACATTTCTGATCTATATCAAGAATTATGGCGAACTAATTCAATACGATAGCAGCTCAATAAATAAATGCATGTTTATCGAATCGACAGAAGATATCGATATATAAGTTTGTGTTAACAATGCTCTTTATTTTTATTACAGGGTATCAGGTTTCTCTGCCACTTCGTCCGTGCTACTAGTTTTAACATGTTGTTTGTTGTTGTTTCCAGCGAAAAGCAAAAGTTCAAAAACATTTTAAATGTTTGTCAATGGAAAGTCGAAAATTAGCAAAGCGTGAATTACAATTAAAAACAGACACAACAACTTTTACATATCGTGTAAGCATTTTAATTAAATACATATCTAGATATGGATCGCATCATATTTAGAGTAAGTGTTCGTAGTTTTTGTTGCCATGTTTTCAAGCGTTCCTTAAGGCCTCAACGTTTCTTATCTTCACTTTTTTTGGCATTGGCTATGGAATCTGATAAGATAAGTCTGCCCACTATTTGTTCTATATTGTATTTATCAATTGCAAATGCTTATCAGCCCGTTCAATACCTTAAGAATGTCTGCTTGTGTGTGTGAGCTCGACGTTCCTTAACGGATTTGGGTGCAAAAAAAATAAATAAAGCTTTGTCAATATGTCGAAAATTACGAATGGCCGATTCATTATTGACTTAAAAAGCCCAAGCAATCGCTGATAACCGTTTTTAAAGGTCTACAATAAATTGTATGAATATACTGTATAAACGTATGCAAAACATTTGAAATACAATGAAAACCAAATGGCAAACGCTGACCATTTATCTAATGTTACCAAGGTTCCGTTGCGCCGCATTTAATTGGCACAGCATTTGCACATTTGATTATTTGGGTGTTACTTGAGCTGCTGCTGCTGCTGCCACCCGCAGGAAATGCTTAATCAAGCTGCATATGAAATAACATACAGTGAAGGCTCAATATAGCTGACAACATCTACATTTAAGCTAGCAAATTTATTGGAATGGAATATTCAAATATATGAAATCATATATTATTTATATATAAAATATTGATAATTTAAAAATTCATTCGGTGTTCCTACCGCAGCTATCTATAAACTCATGTAGTTCCATGTTTTACCATACATCGAATATCATTGCTTATTATGTATTTTATGACAACATTTCAAAACTATTTGTTTGATTACATCACGATATAAGAAACCAACACATTGTTAAAAAAATATGTGTTAAATTATTTCTCATAAATATTGAAAAAGCTTTACATTTACACTAATGGAAATAAAACATTTACAGTTTATCATAGCGATGGCACAGTGTAGTTACATATGTATGCGTAAGTGTGACGCACTGTAATGCAGAAGAGGTGACGATCGATCGGCCAGGCTCGTCGAGTTTTAAGCATTAATCACATCGAATTAATCAGCCTGACGTCCCACATTTAACTATGAACTATATAGGTTTAATTGCGTATACTTGGAATTTGACTCACCTGACACTTTCTACCCAACAGCCTGAACACTGCATCGTTCTCCTCCGGGGTCAGTTGACTGCTGGACGCATTGTTTTTGGGTCGGGACAGCCCGGCTGCCTGTTGACCCTGCGACTCCTGTGACCTCATGCTGCTCGTACTAATCATTTAGGCGGCGGCGCAACGGCTGTGCTGTATATATCGTATATTATGAATACATTTATTAAAAAAACAACAACTCTATAACTCGCACAGTAACGGTAAAACGAGACAAGCGTATTAATTGAATAAGCACAAAACACACACAGTGAAGCTCAAATAAAACAAATCACAGTTATGGCGAATATGTGTTCAACTGGATTTATTGCTAACTTTTTTTTGTTTTCTTCAATATTTGAATAAAAGAAGCAGCAACAGCGGCAGCAGCGAGCTCAGAGACTGGAGACTATTGTAATGTCTGGGCGCTGGCAGAGGCAGAGGCAGAGGCATGGGCAGAGGCAGAGGCAGTGGCAGAGCCAGCGACAGTTAACGCCAATGTTGAGTCACAGTTGGCCAGCTGTGTACAAAACGTGGGCAAAAGCGCTGTCTCTCTCGCTGACTACAATATTAGCTAAATGCGCTCTGGCTGTTATCTTTGGCAATACCACAGTCACTGATTAGGCTACGCATGTATCTATACTTGTGTGTGCATATATGTAAGTGTGTGTTGGCAGTTATTTAACAAATACAAAAATGGGTTCACTTTAGGCGTGCAATAAAACGCGACGCTGCGCTGTCAACTGAAGATGTCAATGACAATATCGATGACAACAACAACAGCAGCAGCAGCACCACCACAGACAACACAACAACAACAACACCTGTCTGCTCCAGGTGGGGTAGCAATGTAAATAGACGCTGGAAAATCTAGCAGACAGCAGCACTAGCACTGTGTACACTCGTGTCTCAAGGTCTTTTAGCTCTGTGGCTGCATATTGCGCACATCAACAATCATTGATTTTTTATTTTTATTTTTTGCACATATTTTTGTTTGTCACTTTTGCTCACTCGTTGCTGTTGCTGCTTTTCGTTGCCTTTGCTTGGCTTGTTTTTTTATTTTAATATAAAATCTTAAAATACCAGCACAGTGTGACCGCAGAATGAAAACAGCAAATTGCAGAAATTAGAGTTGCCTGAGTTGTTATGTATGCGTGTAATCGCTATCGATAACCAGATAGAAGAGTCCCAGGCCGTGAATAAGAGAATCGATAGTCGTGCCGCCGTGCAACCGTTAATTTAAGTCACATATTTGAATTTTATCTGCTAACTTTGATTTGTTCTATTCATTTACAAATGCACTTTTATTTATAGCAATCAACTCGCCTTGTATTACAGGATATCGATATGGCAATGAGAATGTAAATAACACATCGGTCAACGTTGTTCCATCGGCAGACATCCATTGATAATAGGAGAAAAGCTAAGTACTGAGAGAGACCTGAGAGCAGAGAACTAGAAATCTGGGCTACGCCCCAATCCTAGATATCAAGTTAACTATATTTTAACAAAAGTAATATAAAAAATAATATATAAATATCATTAACATAAAAATGGTCTTTCCTAAGTTTTGTCGAAAAGCATTTCGTTTTTATTAATATATATATACGTTTAATAAGAATTGTAAATGGGCTTAAATCAAAGCTAACTACAGATCGCCAAGTTTAAACCGAATGCGAATACTCTTATATCCAAGTAAAGACTTTTAAAATTATGTTAAAAAAATAAAAGCAGTGACTATCAATGTGTTAAATTAATCATTCTCAAAATAATATTTGGTTTGCAGAAAGGAAGCCGACGGCTAAATACACTAACTAAGTGTATATCAAATTGTTTCGTTTTATCTTTGATTATAATTTTAAGAGCGTTTTGATTAGCAAGTCGCAACATACATATAGACCTCATATAACAGCTACGAATTAGCTTGGTTACAACTTTGAATATCGTATGATATATATCTTTAGCAGGTAGTTATATAGAGTATATGGTTGTACACACTTGAAAAGGCCCGAGATAATATCTAGATAATTATTATTATGCAATACATTTGGCTACATACGAACTTGGAGCCGATTTCCATGCGCTCGTCGTTTGACTGTGAATTGGATTAGGTTGTTTCTAGACTTAACAAATCTAGCGTAGGATATATAGCTATAAATATATATATATATATATACTCTATAGGTATGCAAGATATATATAGTTCTATATATAATAAACATTCTTTGATTCTGTTTCCATATGAAAATGCAAGACGGGATTGGCTTTGTGCGTTCGTTTCTATTTGCGCACTCCTCCAATGGGCAGCCGGGATCGGGCAGCTGCTGCGGATGCGGATGCTGATGCAGTTCCTCCCGATGCTTGACCGTTCGCCGCTGCACTTGGCGGCGTATTGTCGAATGTGGAGCTGCGCAAGAGCTTGGGACCTGACGCATTGCCGTTTAACGTATTGGAAGATTTCGTTTGCTGCGTCTTCAGATTAGATATTTGTTTGGTCTTTGTCGTCTTGGTTTTGGCATCATCCACGCGCTTCCAGATATTGGCAATACGACTCTGTGCCTGGTTGATCTTGACGGCCGCTGCCGATGCCGCAGCAACGGCTGCACTGCCACCATTCAAACTCGAATTGCTACGCGAGGGCGGAGTCGTGCTTGATATTCGGGTCGCTTGGGCGGCTACGCGGGAGGCAGCCGCTGCCTTGGCGCTGGCCAGACGTATATTGGTATTGGCACGTTGTTGCGGTTTCTGCTGTGGCGGCAGCATACGAGGCGCTGCTTTGGCTAAAATGCGTTTGGGTGACGCTGTCTTTGCTGCGAACGTCGCTGGTGCTGTTGTTGGCCGCTTTGTGGGCAGCTTGGAGGTGCGTTGCGTGGGACTCACTGGCTCCACAACGGGCACTTGCGCATTGATATTAGTGGGCTCATCCTTGACAAAGGTGCCCTGGCGCTCCAGACGCGTGGTAGTCGGTGGCGGCGTTGCCCTCTTCTTAGCCGGCAGCCGCGTGCTGGTCAAAGCGTTCCGCTTAGCTATGGTTGGCGACAGCGTCTTGGTCTTGCTCTTGGCGGCAGCAGCAGCAGCGGCAGCGGCTGCACTGCTATTGCGTTGACTCTGCATGCTGTACGGCGAGATGTAGGCAGGCTTCTTGCGTCCCCGCACCACCTTGACAGCAGCGGCAGGCTCCAGAGCAGGCGGCTGCGGCGGCGGAGTTGTTCTCTTCAGCGTTAGCTGCTTGGCCACTGGCGGCGACTGGCCACGGCCATGACACGATTCTGTTTCTGAATTTTGGTCGCCCTCGCAGCTGGGCGGATCATCTGCCAAAGTGGGCGTCTCCGGCGCCTCGCTGGGCAGGCCAATATCAATATCTGTGATGTAGGTGAACTGCTGCATCATGGCGCGCATGGAGGACAGCTGATCGCTGGGGCAATCATCCTGCAGCAACTGCAGCGGGCACTCGATGACCTGCGTCTTGTAACGCTCGGCACTGCCGCGTCGCCTTCCACTGAGTCGCGGCGATGGTGTTGCTGGTGGCACTTCGGGCGGCACAGACTCTACAATCTCGATCTGCAGCGTTTCATTGGGCTCGACAATGTCCATAGCGTTGCCGGTGATGGTGTAGGTCTTGTAACGATCCTTGGCCAGGCGACGCTTTTGTTTGGGCGTGAGAGTGCGACGATTCGGCGAAGGCGTCGAGCCCTGCTTGGGCGTCGACTCCGCGGAGCTGAAGTCCTCGTTCATCGTGGCATCTTCTTCGTCATCATCAAAGTCACAGCAGCTCTGGAGGACAGTCAGTGTGAGCGTCTGATCGTCACCAGCAGCTGTCTCGTAGTTGGACACTGATATGGTGGTCGCCAGGCTGCACTCCTGTTCAGCGTCCGCCACCTCCGACTGGATGCTGTCCACGCTGATCATGGAATCGAGCAGCTCATCCATTAGCGATGGCGGCTTAATGTTGTCCAGCAGATTGCAGCTGGAGTTGACGCTCTCGGCGCTGCCCGCCAGCTGGCCAAGCGCACGTCTGGCCACCAGACCGGCTGGAAAGGCCTTGCGCGCAAATCTGGGCGACTTCGTGGGCAGGGCCAGCCGCAACGAGCTTGGCTGCGTATTGCAGGCAGAGTTCAGCGATTCCATGCCAGAGGGCGGACGCACATTGTCCAGATCCAGGCTGCCATTGATACTAAATGTCAGCTGAGTACTGTCATCGTTGTGTTCGTTATCGTCAGGATCACACGCCTGCAGCTGCTGCAGATTGTCGGCTAGAGCACGTGCCTCGAACGCAATCATTGTGGAGTTGGTCATCATGGAGGCGCTGGTGCCATTGAACAGCAGCAGCCGTTGCTGCTGCTCGCAGCTGCGCACTGCGGCGCTCTGCACCTGCCCGCCCAGCTGAAAGTTTAGCCCGGAGGACATGCTGTGCTCTTGTGCCGGCTCTTCGATGAGCGTATCGCTTAGAGTGTGACTATCCAGGGAGCTGGGCTGCTGGAAGTTGGCATCGCCGTTGGCCAAGCCCAACGAGCACAGCAAATGCGTCTCATTGGTGGGCGTAATCTCGGCAAAATCATGCAAATCCTGTGCCTGCGTGGCATCCGCATCCATATCATCCATATCAGCATCATCCAGACTAAGCGAAGCCAGCACAGGTGCCGTTTGGCTAATGCTCGGAAAGGATACATCATTGGGACAGGTGTGCTCGTTCCATGTGTTGTTGTTGCCATGACTGTGACTGTGACTGTGACTGTGACTGTGACTGTGACTCTGACTGTGACTCTGACTGTGACTGTGACTATTGTTGTGTGTGTGATTGCCCGTGCGCAATTGCTCCGCGGATGTCACAAACTCCAATGTGAGCCGCTCCACAGACTTCAGCATCAGATCGGGATCCTTATGCTTGTCTGCTGCTCGTGGCCTGTTGGCATCCGGAATCTCATCCAGCCGCACTGTGGTGTCCAGTATCAACGACTGATTCGACTCGTCGCTGGAACGATCCGCTTCGGTATCTATTAACAATTTAGACCCAGTAACGATCCCGTGATCGATCGTGTTCGCGGTCTCTGGACTTGGAGCTGGACTTTTTGCTACGTCTGTGTCGGTGTCGATGCCGTGCCTGGGTGACTGCTTGCTCTGCTGGCTGATTTGGTGGCTGTTGTGCTGTGTTGATAGTGCGTGCGATTTCTGCTCTACGTCTGGAGCTGCTGCTGTGCTGTGGACACTTGCTGATGTAGTAGCCGCCATTGGGTGACACGGTTCCAATGCAGCTGCAGACGTAGCTTGCGCGTTTTTTGGCACGGCATTGATTTTCTTCGATATGCCTGTATTGATGCACTCCAGCAGCAATTTCTCATCCTTGCGCTCACGCTCTCGCTCCCGCTGATGCTGGTGATGATGGTGATGGTGATGACGCTGCCGCTTCGACTGCACTGGCAATTGCACGGGCAGCGAATCAAACTGCTTCAGATTTGGATTTGAGTGTGCCGTTGAGCTGCTTAGCTGCAGTTGCTGCTGCTGGTGCTGTAGCTGCTGCGATCTGCTGGGCTCCTTGGACTTGTACATGCCATTCAGAATACACAGCTCGAATAGCGACTTCGATTGATTGTCGTTTGAATCGCTGGAGTCCACCGAGCTGTAGGATTCCTGCTGCACCGTCTTGCGCGCACTCATTGCCGAGTTCAAGGAGCACGCCGAGGTGGCCGCATTGATGGCTATGGGCTGGGACGAGGAGCACAGCGAGCTGGAGCGTTTGCTGCTCGTCGCGCTCGTGCCGCTGAAGCCAAGATTCGATTTGGGCCTATTGCAGCCGGCGGCAATAGCCTGCTTGAACGCAACGAAAATTAGAATTAGTTAATATACATAATACGTGATCCCGTTGCGCTCACCTGACTCAGCAAATTGGTATCATCCTCGGAGTCAATGGACAACGAGCTCAACGAATCATCCTGCCACTGCGGCGGTCGACCGACCTGCTCCTGGGTTGACGCTTGACTCTCTGACTTCACCTCAGACGCGTCGGCAATGCTGTAAACGATATTCGTCTTCACTTCTATTTCTTGATCATGGACATCAGATCTCTGATCCGGCTAACGAGACATTAGTGTTTCAACCATGCTTACCCAGTTGTTTCCTGCAGCTGCACAGCTGGTCCGACCAGACTTGAGCCCACGGTCAGATTGGACAAGCCGGAGACGACAGAGAAGTTGCAGGGACTGTCCTCCACCAGATATTTGCTCATCTCATCGCTGACGGGCAAATAGGTGGACAGCATGTTGCCGCCTCGGCGCAGCATTGCAATGGGATCCTCATGGAGAGGCGCCACGGGCATTGGACTGGGCTTCTGCATGCCGTCCCGAATGCACTGCTGTAGCATGGCAGCGGCACCAGCTACGCCGCCGCAATCGGATGCGTTGGAGGAGACATCGTCGGAGAGATTGAGGGAGCAGCGTTGCGGCTGTGTTTCGGCTGTCGAATTCATGGATATGGCTGAGAGATTGGTATTGCTGCCCACCTTGGAGAGCAGTGCGGGCGTGTCCTCGGTGCAGTAGCTGCGTGTCGTCTCTTCGACGGAGGCGGCTGCAGCTGCCGTCGTTGCAGTTCCAGTTCCACTAGCAGATGCCGCCGTGCCCGCAGGTCGTTGCATGCCCATGTTGATGCAGCTGGCTAGCAGCAGCTCATCCTCCTTGTCGACATCATTGTCCTCGCCTATGGGCTTATCATCATCAACGATGCTCAGATTGCTCAGGCTGGTGGCGCCGGAGAACTGTGCGGGCGTATGCTCCACATTGAATTTGCTCAGGTCATCCTCGAAGACGCTGCGTAATGGTCGCTGGCGGCTACCGCTGCCGGGAGTTAGGGCGACAGTGGCGCCTGCCACGCTGCTGCGCCTCGGCGATTGCGGCATGCTTTGCGTGGGCGAGTCGGGCAGCTCGGAGGGCGAGATGACGCCGCTGGCCAGACGACTAAAATCACTGACCACCGAGCTCTTGTCGTCACAATTAGCCACATCCACATCCAGGGAGTCCATGGAGCTGCGCCGAGAGAACATTAGCGGCGTCTCCAGCGCCGAATTGGGCTTAGCCGGCGTTGGCTCCTCCTGCGGCTGCAGCTCTGGCTGCTCCGTTTGCTGCTGCTCCTCTGACTTGGCTGGTTTGCTGTCTGCTTTTGGGACAGATTTTCCAGGCTCATCCAGACTGCTGAGCGAATCGTAGCGACTAAAGTAGCCAGGCGTGCCTTCTTCGCAGTAATTGATGGGCTTCTCGGGCGTATAGGAGCCGGAGGCCAGAGCCGAGGACAGCTTCGAGGATTGCTGCTTTATGGGTGCTTGAGGTTGCGCCAATGCACTCTCATCCACGCCGCTGGGCTTAATGGTCGCCTCGGCGGGCAGCGATGATTCTGCATCGGCCTCCGCTTTGGCCGCCTGCCGCAAATCCGTGACAGATGCCGCATTCGATATGACATACGGCGTGTCCTCGGTCTGATAGCACTTGACACTGTCGTCCAGCATGAGCAGTATCTCCTGACCCTCGCCCGTTGCTTTGGCGCTCGGTGCACAGCCCGCGGCGGACTTCATGTCCGACTCCAATTGATTTTCCGCATAGCGCAGACTGAAATCCGTGGGCTGATCCAAATCCGTTTCCTGATATGTTGTTGCTTTGCTGCTGCTAGTGGCCGCTCCTTCGCTATATTTGGCCGAATAGTCAATGGGCTGCTCCTCGGTGGCCTCCACATCGTGCTCCAGCTCTAGCTCAAAGTTACCCTGCCGCTGGGCCGCATCTGAGCGCATCAGATGCTCATAGGCCGTGTCCGACTTGGCCGAATAGACAGAGTCACGGCTCTCGCTCTTGGTCAGCAGGGCGGAGCGCGACAGACGTGTGGGAGCTGGATGGCGACGCGCCTTATGGGAGATGACGCTGGTGCCGATGCTATTGTTATTGCTATTGCTGTTGCTATTGCTGATGCTGTTGTTGCTCTCCAAGTTGTCACAGGTCTCGGCATGACGTTCGCCCAGCTCCTGCTGCAGCGCCTTTTGTTTGCGCGCCTTCAGCGTGGGCAGCTGCTTGAGCCCCATGGAGCGGGCAATCGGATCCAATTGATCCTGATTCTGTACAGCGGGCCGAAAATTCAATAGATTCTTCAGCGCCGATGAACTGCCCTCCGAGATCATGGCATGCTTGGAGTGTATCAACGAGCGCAGCATCGGCACCGCGCCATTATCCCATAAGAACTTCTGATCCTCCGGACAGCGTGCCGACAGATTCCACAGTATGCCGCACGAGTTGCTCACAACAGTCAGACTCTCTGATTTGAGCTGCTGCAGCAGGATGGCCAAGCAATTGTGCTGGCGCAAGATCTGACGATACGGCTCGCAGACGGCTATATGGCTGGAGACATTGCGCAGAATGCCGCCAGCATTCTCGATAATCTTGAGTGTCTTGCTGGGCCCCTCGTAGCTGAGCATGCCCACCAGAAAGGCGAGTGCGCCCTCAACGGCACAAAACTCGGCCTTGTTGGTGCTGCAGTGCGCCGAGAGGTTCCACAATGCCGAGAGTATTGCCTTCAGCGTATTCTCGCTCTTGTTGCGCATGGCCGCTTTGGCCAGTGCCGTCACAGTTCCAATCTCGTTGAGCACCGCCTTCATATTGCTGTCGGCTCGCCAGGAGAGGTTGCGCAGCACGCTGGCCGTCACCTGAAGCAGATCGTCGGGTCCACTGGTGTCCAACTGGGCGACCAGCGCCTCCATGAACTGCTTCTGGCCACAGAGCAGCGCCTTGTTGTTCTCATCGCCAAACGTGAGATTGGTGAGCGCCATCAGCGCATAACGCCGCAGCGAGTTGCAGCACTGATCCTCTGGCTTGGGTCCGTGCACAGCATGATCCAAGTGCACCAGATTGGGTATCACCTGCAGTGCACCCAGCTCGCACATGGCATGTCGATGCTCCTCATCGAAGCTGACCTTCATCAGGGATGATATGGCCGCCAGTGGATGGCGGTCGGAGTCATCGGCTATGGCCTCGCCGCCGCTCTGCAGCAGCGTCTTCAGGAAGCTGCAATAGTCCACGATCTGATCGAGCAGGCGCAACACCTTGGCCTCCCGCCTGCCCGCCTTCTCGTCCGGGTGACTGTGCACCACATTGTGCAGCGCGAGACTGGCGCACTTGCGCACCTCCTGCTCATTATCCGGTGCATGCATCATCTGCACCAGCAGTGGCATGCAGCCGGAGCGACGCAATGTGGCACAGCTCTGACTATTTGCGGACAATTCGAGAAACTTTTTCGACATCTCCAGCGGATCATTGGAGCCCAGCATCGAGAGCAGCGAGTAAACACACTCGACCTTGGCGCCCAGCGTGGCGTCCACATCGCTTGTGCTCGTCCAGGCGGTACCTTTGGGCAGGCGTGGCAGGGGCGGCGGCGCCGCATCGGCATCCAGAAAGCGGGAGAGCGTATAGGACGGCTCCTTGCTGCGCGAAGTGCGACTGCCGCCGACACCTGTGCCCACTGCCCCAGCTGGTGAGCCCAGGCGCTGGGCTGGCAGCAGCTCCTTTTGCTGCTGTTGCTGCGCCGACTGCCGTTCGAAATTGCGATCCAGACTGCGATGCTCGCGCATCTCCTGCGCCAGCATATAGTCGGGCGGTATAGGATTCTCATCCAGGAAGTGTTTGGCTGGCTTCTTGGCGCCCGCCGCGCCACTACTTTGCGTGTAGTGCAGCGTATTATCGTCCTGGGTGAACTCCTTCTTGGTATAGCCACTGGCGGCCAGCTCATAATCGCTAATCTCACCATCCCGTTCGAATTTCTTGTCCATTTTCAGCTGCTCCCCAGCGGCGATTCTATAGCCATAGTTCTCCTCATAATCTGGCGGCGCTGCAGCATCATAGTCCAAGAAATGTGGCTTACGCTCGGGCACAGCATCGACATCTACATCCACATCCACATCGACATCAGCATCCGGATCGACATCAACATCAGCGTCGTCCAAGCAAACGCCAGCCATGCTCAACACGATGCTGTCCTGGCCACCGGCATTCTCCTCCAGCTCTGATGTGAGCGTTGGCTGCAACATGATCACAGCCCCCAACTGGATCTGGTTTGAATTTCAAAGCCAAATGCCAGAGTCAATGTCCATGCCCTGCAATTACGAATGAGAGGCGTTGGTTATAAATTTCAAGATGAGTTGGCTGATCAGCTGGGCGTCGAGGCGTCGCTCTTCTATTTATAGCTGCAAGCACAGATATATGAATATATCTATATATATATGTATATGTATACACCTATATATATAGTTTGCCCACCACCAGTTGGCCAAGTTGGGCCCTTGAGCGAGACGCTAGCAGCTGCAGCAATTGAGACTCCAGAATATCAGGTGTAAGCTCAAGTGTGCGGTCTATAACAGGTAATAAACGACTCAACCACGAGCTGCCATAGACAGCGACTACGAAATACCCTTGAATACTTTTTTAGGCAAATTTTTTTCTAGTCTGGCTAGGTTTAGAACTCCCTTTCACTCTCTCAATCTCTTCCTCTATGACGTTCTTACACTTTTTCTCTCTCTCTCTATCACTATTTCTCTCTCTTTCTCTCTCCCTCCCTCTCCATCATCACTTCTCTATTTCTCTATCTCTCTGTGTCTATCTCACACTTTCTCTCAATAAGGCCTACCTTAACAATGTAACCCACCTAACAATGTAACCCATTAGAATTTTTGAAAATCACATAGAAAGGCAGTGCAGTTACCTGACCATATGCGATATCCAAATGAATGTTTGATTTAACATACCCTTAATAGGTGCTACCCAGTAATAATATATAAGCTAATACAATCATTATGATCATGATTGTGATCGTAATTAACTGGAGCTGCATCTATTTTTTTTTAGAAAGTTAGCGGATCGGCAACGTCTTTGCGGAATTTCCAGTGCATGAAAAAGATACAGATGCGTTTTCAGCTGCTTAATTTCATTGTTGTTATTGTTGTTGTTGTTGCTGTTGTATTTTTCATTCGAGCTGCCGTTGAATTATGCGCTTTGCAATTGACGACTGCATCTCTGCTGGCAGCGGCGCATGCGCCGTATAATTGGATATATGCGTATGCACACATATGCATATGTACATACATATGTTAAATGGGTGCATGTGTGTGACATGGTTACGTTTTATATTCTCATAGATGGAGCTTCTAGGCTTGTGAACTGTGGCACCCTAAACATAGATCATATATGTACTTCAGGCTCCAATTGGCAAATTCATCAAAAACTAATTTGAAAATAGAATGTATTCTTCCAATTGGACAATAACGGAAATACATGGCAATACAGTAATCGTTCGCAATATGCAATTTACAAATGTATGTCAGTGGCTAACCATAGAGCACTTTTTTTTAACAAATAAATTTATTAATTTAATTTAAAATATAATTGTTTACTTTTCTATTCATTTTACTTGCTGAAAATTGTCTACAAAATTGAAAAAAGCTTTCTAGCGGGTAATTACAGTAAAGGCATTCTAATTCTAATAAGCACTGCGAAACACTGTCCAATCGTATAAATATGGTATGTCTGTATGTATGCAAGCCAATAAATAATGAGTGATTCGCTTACTAAATCCAAGTGCGACCCTCTTTGAAATATAATACGTAACTATACAAATTCGGAGCAGTCCGATAAGAAACACTTTCTGATAAATGGAGCACATTCTTTTTTGTATGTAATGTATGCATGAGTGTGTGTGTGGGCAAATACGTAAGTACATAGCCGGCATTTTAACATGTCGAATGAATCAACAGTTCATCAATTAGTCAAAGCCTATGCATGCATACATACATGCATACATACATACATATGTATGTATGTATGTAGATTTGTACTTATTGTTGGCAAGTATCACAAGGAATTCGTATGCGTCACTTGTCTAGTCGGGCGCCGCTTCTCCCGCTGTCTTGAGTGTCATTAACCGACCAGCCAGCTATACATATGTAAGTACATACACACATACACACATACTTACAGCTACGAAGACCACAAAAGGAAGCGACGTTTTGACTTGGCACACATTTTGCATACCGAAAATCCAAACAGCAGAACTATCGCCAAAGCAGTATGCGATTGAAGATTGAGAAATGAGATGGGCAGACAACAGACATTAAAAAGAGATATGATGGAAGTATGCGCAAAAATACCAAGCACAAAATTATGGCAAGCAAGGCGCACATTGAATACTCTCTCTCTCTCTCTCTTTGTCTTGTACTTATTATGCAAAAAAAGTTAAGAAAATTTAATATGCATAGGACAGATATTGCTAATAAAATATATTAATTTATTTATTTAAATAAAATATTAAAAGATATATATCGAGATGGCAAAATACGTAGATCATTTCTTAAAGGATTTTACTTGTAGATTTTTGTTGACTACTAACAGAGAAATGGTCAAGAAACTTAGTTTTCTTTTGTAAAGAAAGTTGTTCTTTATTTTTATAAACTTGTATAGAAATTACACCATATGTATTTATTTATAAGGGCAAAATGTCACATGTTTAAAGACAATGCTTAACTACATTTCGTGTCATAATAAAGTACGCGCCCGTTCCCATAAATATGAATGTCGGCATATACACATACACACATACATACATATGCATATAAAAGTATAAGCGCATGGCAGTATGTATGTATGCATACGTGTGTGTGTGTTATTTTAATGAGCGTCTTTCGCTTCTGTAGTTGTTGCTGTTGTTTTCATTTAGTTTTTGTCTTGTCCAGTTTTTCTTTTTGCAAGCAGATATCATTATTATGTAAATGGAAGCTAAGTAAAAGGGAAACTAAATACTTTAACTATGCAAGTAGTTGGTTTAACTATTTTGCGACTGTCGCTCTTTCGACCAAAAACAATTAAGCAAAAAATAAAAACAAAAGTAACCAAAGCGAAACCCCTACAGCATGCATAATAAATAAATACATATGAATACGCATACAAATGCAAACTGTTACAATGCAGACGCAGTGATTAATTATGGTAAACAAGAGTGGGAAAAAATGACCGAATAGAAATGAAAACTTATCAATTAGCTGCGCTACATTCACTTTGCAACACTAACAGCAACGATAACAAAAGGGGCAAAGCAGAAACAACAACAACAACGACACGCGCACAGCCTATGCAGTTGATAAAGGAGCCTGCAGCTCGAAAAGACAATACAGATGCACAAAGCACACACCCACACACGGCGCAGCCGCTTGCACACTCACACGCTTTTGCTCACGCACACACACTCACACGTATACGCGCGCCAATTGGATTTTATTGATTTTTCCTGTAAAAGGAATATGCACGGAAACGAAAATCGCCAAAATAAAATTTAAAAACTTGACAATTATTTAATTGGTCTTAGTTAATAAACTTGCCATAAGAGCGTAGGCTATAGCCATATAGTCTTTTTTTTTTTTGATTATTTTCATTGGGTTTGTCACATACATACAAAAAATAAAGAAGATTTTATTGAGTCTCCCACACAGCGACAATTTAGTTAGTGCATACCTTGACCAAAAGTTCTTAATGGCTCGTAATAGCTGCTGATTTGATATTAGACACCTCTCATGCTTTATCTCAAATTTTTGCTTTGAGTGATTGCATTTATTAATAATTCTTACACATTTCGCGATAAAACAAATAATAGCGGACGTACTTTTTATTTTGGATTTACTACAAACGTCCGTGCGCAGCGGTTTTTCGTGGCACGGCCAATTCTTATTGGTGATATACTAGTGATGGACTTTACACACCGATAATAAGTTAACATTTTATCCAACTGTTATTAACATATTAAAGTCTAGACGAAAAATACCAAATGTTGGCTCGTATTTTAAATTTAACAGCCGGTAAGAATTCCAAGTTTTTATTCCAAAATATTGATTGACCTAAAGAATATATATGCTGTATCGTCGCCGACTATATTGAATTCAAAATTCAAGATCCGGAAAACGCCTTTTTATTAATTTTAAGTTATTAGCTAATAAAATATATATTATAATTTTAGCAAAGTAAATTCATACAAAATTGTACACAACGCCGCTTAAACTAGACCAGAACTGTCGAAATCGATACAATATTATCGCAAAGAAACAAAGAAGCCAATCGAAATCAATGCATTGTTATCGCAATTCAGTAATCGGTGGAGGCCAGTCGCAATAGCAAACATCAAACAAAAAAATTATATTAAAATTGCAAATCATTTGTATATTGATTTCCTGTGCTCGTAAATATCACACAGTGACACAATGGAACAAATGGAAGTCGATGTCGATGTAACGCCAAAGCCGAGCACCTCATCTTCGGCAGCTGCATCTTCAGCAGCTGGCGATGCCGCCGGCAACAAACATCCGCAAATAAAAGGCAATATTATGGCTGCGACGGGTACAATTGCGTCGGTAACAATTTCATTGCATCCATTGGTCATAATGAATATATCAGAGCATTGGACACGCTTCCGGGCACAGCACGGCGAGTCGCGTCAGGTGTATGGCGCACTGATAGGCAAACAGAAGGGTCGCAATATCGAGGTAATGAATTCGTTTGAGCTCAAAACCGATGAAATTGCGGAGGAAACAATCATCAACAAAGACTATTACAACAAAAAGGAGCAACAATACAAGCAGGTAAGTTAAATTAACATAATCCATATAACTGCTGAATTATATAAACGTATTCGTTTGAAGGTGTTCAGCGATCTGGATTTCATTGGCTGGTATACAACGGGCGACAGTCCGACTGCTAGTGACATAAAGATTCAAAAACAAATAGCTGAAATTAACGAATGCCCCATCATGCTTCAGTTGAATCCGTTGCCACGCAGTGTCGACCAGTTGCCAGTCAAATTATTCGAATCACTTATCGATCTGGTTGATGGCGAGGCCACTATGCTGTTTGTTCCGCTAACCTATACGCTAGCCACCGAGGAGGCAGAGCGGATTGGAGTGGATCATGTGGCACGCATGACAACAAATGAATCGGGCGAGAAGAGCGTGGTCGCCGAGCATTTGGTGGCCCAAGACAGCGCTATCAAAATGTTAAATACACGCATCAAAATCGTCTTGCAATACATCAAAGATGTCGAAGCGGGCAAACTAAAAGCGAATCAGGAAATATTGAGAGAAGCTTATGCCCTATGCCATCGTCTGCCCATCATGCAGGTGCCAGCCTTCCAAGAGGAGCTATACACGCAATGCAACGACGTCGGCCTTATCAGCTACTTGGGCACGCTGACCAAGGGCTGCAACGATATGCATCAGTTCGTTAACAAATTCAATATGCTTTACGATCGCCAGGGCTCATCGCGGCGTATGCGAGGACTCTATCCCTAAGCGGACATCTGGGGATATTTATTTTATACATATATTCTGAATTGCTGCCCATTAAATGTGAAAAACAACAAGAGTGCACCAAATGTATGTAATGTATAGAAGTGGAGTGCTGACATGATATACATGAGTATATACACGATCCTCATTCATTTACAGATCCGCTTAGTTGTATATATGTATAGCTTTCCCAGCTTGTTTCTTAAGCCAGTTTTAAAACTATTTCAAAATAAGTCAACATGCTACCTACCTTCATAGTATTTTTCCCATAAAGTATTCTAAAGCTTATTTTTAATGCAATTTTTATTATTGTTTGCAAACTACACACAGTTGGAATTAAGCAGTTAGGGAAACCACATACATATGTTTATCACTTTCTCTTCTTACGCTTCTCCATACATAGAGCTTCAAGCTACTTAAATTCAAATCAAATGTGTCCTAAACACTTAAATACATAAATTTTTGCGGTGGGTCCATTCTTTCTAATGATTATAATCGTCCAATTTAATGTTGGCGGCATATTGTTGCAAGAACTCAACTTCCAGTGGATGCATCTCCTTGGCGGGTATGATCAGTGAGTGGAGTGGACCGCCCAGATCAGTAGCACGCATCCCATGCAGAGTAGTAACCACAATCTGTTGTGTATCCTGGCCAACACGTGCCAGGCCTACGCAAAGCGATTGTTCGTTTAGCACTGTATTCCGCTCCAGGGCGTCCTTCTTCTCCACAATGGTAAGCAGCTGTTGGGCGGCTTCAGCGACACTCATAAATCGCGGTGGCATGTACTCCTTGCGTTTGCGCATTAGCGACTCAGGTGTGGGCTCCTTAACCTTAATATCAAGGAGACAGAGCGTGTGCATATTGTGCAGGCGATTCAGTTTGATTTTATCGTAAAAACTATCTGGCTTCCAAGTCTCATCCCAATACGGTATGGAGACTGTTTCACCAAATTTGTACAGCTGCAGGCCACAACAGCCAATGGCATTCATAATGGACGCATTATGTATGACCTTGTAGGGTATGTTCTTCTCCTTGGCGCGTAAAATAAAGTCTGTGTGTGTGGTGGCGCCAAAGGGATCGCCAACAACGAGTAGGGCAACATCTGATTCGCCAGCACCAGCCAGAATCTCATCGGCTCCCTGTTCCACAAGGTCACGGTCGGCCAGCAGTAGGGGACGCCCATAAAACTCTTGCTAAAAAAACAAAATGAATATTTTAATATATAACTAACAATAATACAATAAATAATTGTATATGCTCGACGTTTCATATTTGCAACACACGCACTGTGGTCCCTACTCACCATATCCTCAAGGCTACAGCCGAGAATCGAGGTATACATTTCCAGGTACACACGACTACATTGCTTTACAATTTCAAGGCCTTTCACTGTGATATCCTTGATATCGCCCAGACCGAGTCCAATCAAATAGAACATGTTGCCTTGTTATTTGCGCGCAACTCACAATTGTTTTATTATGTGTTTTGGATTTTTGTTGTAGCAAATATATAACTGTATATATTAAAGCTCTGTGGAAACCGACACGTGCCCGTTGTATTGGATTTGCACCTCGCTTGTTGCTTCTTCACGCGCGGACGACGCGATTGCACTAACATCTGTTTTCCAGTGTTGCCATGTGCGCCATTTTAGAATTTGATTTAATGGCGCACAAAGTAAATAGTCTTCTTTCAAGTGGTCACACTGGTACTTAAATTACCGAAAATTAAGAAACTATGCTTCATAGGCAACGCAAATAATCTGTTGCTTATACTATTTTTCAATTAAACACGGCTTTGTACTCCTTTATAGCTTATTAGATGATCCATTTAATTTATTAAGCGGGACTACCACTATCAATAATAAATACTAAAAAGTGTGTAGAGTTATTTTTAACATTGGTATGCTATCGATATCGAAAGACTCGATTTTTTACTGTATATTCCACGTGCGGCTGGAGCCATAATATAGTTTCGTATTTTTCTGTTTGTTTTTAAAGTAATATCAGAAGAAAAGATGCCGCCCGTAAGGAAGCCCAAGCCCCAGAAGGCTCAGAAACAAGGGACTCCATCCAAATCTCCGGCCCAAGTCAAAACCGTAATTTCTGGCCAGGTAAGTTACGTACCAAAAGAGGAGCCTCAAGTAACGATGTCTTAACTCCATGTTTACAGTTGAAAAAGAAACTAAACAAGGCGAAACCAGCTCCAAAGGAGCGTCAAGAGCGTGGAGTAGTATTTATCAAGCATTTGCCACATGGCTTCTTTGAGCAACAATTGCGTCAATATTTCAAGCAATTTGGGCATGTAACGCGTGTGCGACTCGCACGTTCCGAGCGGACCGGCGGCAGCAAAGGGTTTGCTTTTGTTGAGTTCGAATATCCAGAGGTGGCCAAAGTAGCGGCCAACACCATGGACAACTATCTCATGTTTCAGAAAGTGGTCAAGGCAACGTATATACCACCAGAAAAGCAAAGGTTTAATTACTTCAAGAATACCGTGAAGAAAGTCACAAATAAGGTAAGTAAAAAGCACAGAACCTATTACCTACAACCCTATTAAAATATCATCGTTTCTAGGCTGGCAAAGAAATTTATGTTTCGGATGTAACGAAAGCCACGCAACGCAGTGTCAAACAACAAAACGATTGGACCGAAGCTGCCTGCCAGAAACGCACTGTCGCAGGTATCAAGAAACTAAAACAAATGGAAAAGAAATATAAACATTTGGGCATTGATGTATCCAATTTCATCGTGGAGCCACTTAAGAAATTGAAGGAGAGCTCAGAGCAATCTAAACCGTCAACGAGCAAAAATTCAAAGATTCAGCGAAAGGAGTTGGAACTGGCTGATCTTTTGGGCAACACCATTAACGAGGACTCGGATGATGAGGATTATGTGGATGAAAGTGATGATGATAGTGAACCAGAACTCGACAGCTCTGAGGATGATAGCGATAATGAGTCTGAGGAAGAGGTGAAGCCAAAAGCAGCAGCCAAAAAGATACAGAAGAAAACCACAGGCGCTGAGCGCTTAATCGAGCTGGCCAAACGCAAGCCCGGCTCAGGTGGTGTGCAGAAGAAGAAGACCGCCGCAGTGTCCAAAACTACTCAAAAGGCAGCTACAAAAACACTGCAGCTGGCAGCAGCCAAACAGTTGGCCAAGCCATTGCAAAAGAAGATTGGCAAGAAGCTAAAGAAGTAGAATTTTAGTATATTTACCATAATAGTTAAGTAAACAAACATTTTGTATAAAGTAAACTAATTGTGCGCTTTTGTAGACCCGGACATCTCAAGTTTGATGCGTTTGCACTTCATGCGACGATTTTGAAACCACACCTTAACCTGACGCTCGCTTAGCTCCAGGGCGACGGCAATCTCATACCGACGCAGTCGTGTCAGGTAATTGGAGTAGCAAAATTCCGCCTCCAGTTGCTTGAGCTGCGTTTTAGTAAAAGCTGTGCGTTCCTTCCGTTGCGAGCTACTGCTGCTGGCTGCAGTGACATTTGACTCCTCGATAGTGGTGGGTGAAGCTACGCTAGCTGCTAATTGCAGAGTATGACAGCTATAAGCTGCAGCCGTGTTTCCTTCCCAGGATCTATTGCTGTAATCCTCATAACTGGGCGCATTGGTCGGCTCATAGTTGTAGCTGTAGTCAAAGTTCTCGAAGTCATTTACGTAATAGGCGGCTAGATCTGTGCCGGAGCTCTTCATGGTAGCTCCTGTTAGACGAACACTCTAATTAATACTGCGCGTTCGGGCAAACGAAGACGCCTCTTAAGACGAGTTTCTGCACGAACCGCTCATTGGCTGGCACTCTTCGCAGTCGATTGGCTCAATCTGTTTTTCCACTTAAATGTAAATGATGTGCCGCTGATATGATAATTGTGCGCAACATCTGGACATACACAACCCCCCACAGCCGCCGACTCGACCAGCCGTAACGTCGCGTGCTCTACTCTGCTATGCTCGGGCTTTGCCTTTGCGCACTTGTGACACCCACAAACTATGTTGTTGTTTTCTTAAGACTCGGATGGCAAAACAAAACAAAAAACTCGGCTAGAAACGGAAGTAATTGCAGCTCGCATGTGTGTGGCTCCTGTGTCTAACAGCAAACATGAGTCAAGTGCTTTGTACGACTGAAGAGCTCTAAACATTTTTAATATCACTCATAAAAGTACGTATATGTGAGTTGATTGTCAATTGCACGCGCTTTTTAGTTTTAGCGCACCATTTGACTTGGCTACGGTGCGGATATCCACTTCCCCAGCTTTGGCTACTGATCGGCACTCTTTAATAACTTCAAATTGAAGTCAATATAACATCACATATTAGGAATCAAAAAATAAAAAACTAACCTATTCCTTAGCTTAGTTTTTTAAATTTAAATTACCAATAGACCCGCCAAGCAACACATCTGGCAACGCCATTAAATGAATTTGCTGTGTTTATTAACTTGATCTTTACAAAAACAAGCTTAAATAATAACTTATATATTCTGAAACGATTGCTTATCTTTTAATTTTATTTAATTTAATTTCGTTACATCTATTAGATTTGCGCAACTCTTAAATTTAGTAGCGGTCCCGTACGATAATAAAATACGGTCTTGTAAAAAATCGAATAAATGCTGCAATCGATATGCGTTCGCATACCTAGGTGAATAAATGAATGCGGCTATTAAACATCGATAGGCTGAAACAACAACAGAAAGGCGTCCGTGGTGTTCGGTTCGCGAGTCGCGCATCTGCATCAATTTTTTTCGAATATAAATTAATTAAATTAATGCAAAATAAGATAGAGCTTATGTTAATGGCTTAGCAGTATGTATAAATCCGCGCCGCAATGATTAATTAAAGTACTAGCCGCTCCAGTGGCAGCCGTGCAGCAGCGACTGCGGCGAAGTATTGAAAGTGGAGAGAGAAAAAGTCTCAAAAAAACACCGAAAATCTTTAACAAGTTTTTGTGTTTGTAGATGCGAATGCTGAAAAATTGCGTTAAAAGAAAGCTGCGATGTTGCCTGAGTAGCAATTGAATTGTAAAATATGATCAACAAAATACGAGCAGTCAATTTATAAGTTGTACTTGTGTTGTGAGTGTGAGTGTGTGTGCTTGTGTCTGCGTTTGCGTGCGTGCAGTTGTGTGCGTTTGTGCCTGCGTGTAAGTGAAATAAAAGCAATTGTAAATGAGTGCGCAAAGAAGTTGTGAAGTGGCGGCAGCGACAGCCAAGCCCAAAACTTCAGTCAAGCATTGCAAGAGGGAAGAACGCCACAAATATTAAAACAAAGTGCAAATGACGACAGCGTCAAACACGTTGGCAAATTAAATACAAATAAAAAAAAACAAAAAACATAAATACCGAAGTAAGCAACGGTCAACAGTTCCAGGTGGTCAGCAAAGAGTAGCAGCAACACACTCACAGACACACACACCCGCACAGGGAGCGGTAACAGCAACAGCAGCAGTGGGCGACAACGTCAACGTCGCGCAATGACCGAGGAATTGAAAGTGGTGCTGCGTCGCAGTCGCAGTGAGCAGCATTCCGGTTTCGGGTTTTCGCTGCTCGGCACAACTGGACCGCCGCATGTTATCTACGACATTGTTGAGAATTCGCCGGCCGCCGACTGTGGTGCGGTAAGTAATAGTCATACATATGTATATGTATGTACATACTTTCAACTCTCACCCGCTTTGTGCCTCTTTAAATATTGCACTCTGAGTCCCTCTTCTACCGCAAGCTTTTATCCTACTTTTGGCGTTGCCGTATTCCCATTTGGGACTGCCCTATGACTTCATCAACCACCGGGGCGCAGCGCAACAGACCCAAATGGTGAATATATTTTGCACCACCCCCTTTTTGTGTCTCATGTGCCGCTGTAGAAAGGCACAGTTCTTACGTTTAAAGATTTCGTAAGAGTGTGTGCATAAAAAGCACTCAATTTAGCAGGCAAAGTCGCGAAACGCGACCTCGACGCAGTCATCGGTGTTGCCCATCTTCAATGACGCCCACTGTGATGTCATCGTGTCACTTGCTATTTTAATGGGTGCGCTGGCACCGACTGGCCATACACATATGAACACGCATATACACACGCACAAACACACACACACACACCAAGAAGTAACACTATGTATCAATTTTCATTAGGGTTTCGCTTCTATTTACTTTTGTTATTGAAATTCCCATGAAACGCTTTGCTCATTTCGATTTCAATTTAATAAAAATAAAATGAGGAAATACAAACATACAAATAAGTATATGTTTGTGTGCAACTAAAATCAGAATTGGCAATTCATTTTGCTATATCTGCTAAAGTTTTCATTTTCATTTCAATAACTGTGTATCTAAAAGGCAATAAATCATTTGTGCCGTACAATCGTGACGCAAAAGATGTGTCTGAAATATATTTTTGCATAATAGATTCAGAATTATTTAGCATCCAAGTTCCTTTTAAGTATCTTCGCATAATGATAAGAAATCTTTAAATAGCTAAGAGGTTAGCTGACGCTGCCTTTTTGTTTATTCAATGTTATCTGTAAAAGAATCTCTTATCTCTTACCTTTCATATCTGAGCTATAATTAGTCTTGAGTCTTCAGGGGTTTACTCATTGATTCGACTGTGCCTAGATGCATACAAACATATATATATACATGTGACAATCCCTCAAGAATTAAGTTGAAAAGAAATGTTAGAAATCACAAAACCGTCGGAAATGGTTAGTTAGGGATATGTTCACGTACACCGGAGTTGCATTAGACGGAATCGGACGTGTTGCACATGTTAAATCCATAAAGTTCATTGAAAATTATTTGGATTTTCAACTCTATTCAAAAGAAATGCGAAGTAATCGAACAATGACAACAACCACAACAAAAACAACAGTAAAAGCAAGAAAGCGCAGCTATAAAAAGCAAAGACAAAAAGACAAAAAAAAGACAAAATTAAAAATAAGTCGCACTCATACATACACATGCAAAGTCACAGGCACAGACACTTACTAACACACGCTCAGACTCGTGCATAATTATCAGACACAGCAAATGTAAAAAAAATTAAAATCAAAAAACAAACAAGCAACAAAATGTTAGTGTACGTTTATTATTATTGCTTTCGAGTGCGGCTTTTGGTTTTTTAGAAATGAATTTATTCGCACGACTCAATCGACTCAAACAACAAGAGAGAAAAGTGTGAAAGCCAAAAGAGTTAAGAAACACAAGCCCAAAGAGTCGAATGCAAAAAACGTGTTTGGAATTTTAAATTTAAATATTAAGTAATTTGACAAATAAATACAAGTTATGTGTGTGTATGTACATATAAAAAAAGTTGTCAGCCAGTCATAGCAGCAAAATAACAATAACAACATTTGCAGCCGCAACGTGGCCAGCGTCGACGTCGACGTAGACGCTAACAGAGCAAGCAACTCGTCGACATCGCTGCCGGCGTTGTAATCGCACTCGCACTCACACTTACATTTACACACACACACCGGCACGCACTTTTTCAATTTGTTATTATCGCTTTCGCTTACAACTTGTTGTTCCTTTCAGAGGGGATGCTAGTTTTGTCGCGCTATCTCGCGCGATGTCTACGTTTGTTTGTCTTTTGCTGTGACTATTCTTCTGTTGTTCTGGGTGCACAATTTTTCAATGAGTTGTGAATCTCACACTCCATGCTTGTTATATATATATATATGTGTGTTTATATGAATATGTACGAATGCAAGCATATAAAATGCATGTATAAATATCTACTGTTGGCTATTGTCTCCGAATATCAGAGCTGGACCGTGAGTTAAGCGATAGTTTAATAATAAGAAAATGTATCTATAATAAGTAAATGTTACCAGATGTTGTAAAAAAAATATTAATAAGTTTCAATGTATTTAACTATGTTACACATTGATAATACTTTGGGTATTTATTTAATACTTAAGAATTATATAACAAATGTTGTATTTAAGTTTGTAATATTTACAAAAATATATTTTAATTCTTTTTAATTATAAAGTATAAAAAGTAAAGTATAAAGTGGTCTGCTGAACATACCCTTTTTCATGTCTTTTGCATTGTGTGTTCACTTTGTGTTGTGATTCTACTTATTGTTGTTCGTTGGCAGTTCTAATGCTCATCTTTGTATGCATTTGTGTGAGAGCGTGTGTACGCGTGGTTTTGTTTGTCCACAATTTGATACGACAACACATGGGTAATTTATATTAATTGCTGGGATGGATAACAAAAGAACTGTTAATTTGTTGAACATATCAAATGTTACTTCCACCTAAGTGATTTCATTTTCTATAAACAATCGCACCTGAATGTGCATAAATGTGTGCTTGTGAGTCTGCGTGCTTATATTAGTTTCATCATAACATCGCCAGAGGCTTTAACGTGCATATACACAATGTCATTAATCAAATTCCTGGATGTTCTACATTTTGGTAGATCTTTTTTTCGTTCCTAACTAAATTGCTTTTTAATTTCCACTTTGAAACTGTTCGTAGCTCAAATGGAGGCGAGTTTTAAGAATGAGGACTGTTCCCATTTCAATTGCAAGTATATGCGAATGTGTGTGTGTGTGTTGTGTGCATGTGTATGTGTTTGTGTTTCCTCTAAACTGGTCCAAAGGCCGCATTAACAGCTTTAATCACCAACATTTCACGCTGAACGCATCCACTTGCAGCGGCTGCCATATACATCTATTGTGGCCACAATCTGCCTCGCCCACTTCCTTGCCAGCCCCTTGTCATGAGTGAGACTCAGGTTTTGTGTACGTCTGGCAGCACGGTCTTGCAAAATTCTAACGCTAAGCTTAATTAGACTTTAACTGGAAGTGACTAACGACTTTTGTTATTGTGCTGCCTGAAAACCAATTAATTGTCGCCGACCGCCGGACAAACAAAAGGAACAAAAGAAAATAACTACAAGGCTATATTGATTTTTTCTTGTTGTCTAAGTGCAAGTTTTACACACGAAACACACACACACACATACATATGAACAAGCTATTGTATTAGATGCATTGGGTAGTCTGCCGACCCGACAGTATCCATATATATATAAATAATATATATATGTTTGTGTTGATGTCTTCACACATTTTGAAAATTGTCATTGAATGAACGTTAAGTTTGCTAGAGCTACAAATTTCAAGCTCTAGAAAACATAAAACTGTCATTTGTGGGTTCAATGTGCGTAGCACACGACTTGGTGGGTAGGTCACGACACGGTACGACAGAACCAACTTGCACGAGACACTTTGCCATTTCGATAAATGTCAACGTTCCGCGTACGACCGGCCAAAGAGAGTTTATTCGTTGCTCCGTTCTCTTTGCTTTAAGCCTGAAGTCAAAAGTGCACACACTATAAAGTCAATTCGCTTTAATTGAATTACAAAAGTGGAAGAAAAAAAAAAAGAAATGAAAAATGCGCGCGTTTATTAAGTTAGCTTTTAATGGCGGCTGAACGGGTGAGACGGTCT